TAAGTTGATGAGGTTCATATGCCTGTAATTTCACTAGCACTTCCAAACCTTCAAAACCGGAACTTCAAAATAGATAAGGTGGCAGTACTACCCTGGACGAACCTCTTTCACAAGGAACTCTACTGCTTCCATTACCAAATGATCTTGAAAATAATACGTCCATCACTATCGTTATAAGCTATTACGGCTGTGTAGAACACGTTTTCTTTAATTTTTGTTATTATATGCCCTAATCTTTTAATTATAAGAAGTTGTAATCCACATGTGAAAGTTATAAAAGTAATACAAACTACATATCTGCCGTCAGCAAGCTAAAACGCGATTACGTGATAAAATATTTTTTTTAGATATCATAAGAGAACCATGACCCAGTTTAAGAATATTGAAATTATTTAATTTTATTATTTGCGTTATTAGGGTAAATTCCGATAAGACACGTTTCGGACACATTAACTTCTAGCTTTAAAACAGCTATATAGAGAATGTTGAGATCTATCTATAAGTTGTCTGAAGCCTTAGACTACGGAAACCAACATCTAAGGGTATTTGACAACTTGCCACTTAGCCGCCTCATAGTTAGTGGACGTCAGCTAAATATTCATACATGTATATTACATATACATATTACAGACACATGAGACTTGTCAACTTATATCTCAGGGTGAATCTTTTTGATTTAAAGATCTGAGTGACACTGCAACTGTTAAAGAATGCCATATCACTTACCGACGTTTATAGTGACACGCCCTGTTTTTCTCATGTTATTGTAATTTCGCCAGTATCGACTTCCAAAACCGGAACGCAGTAATGGGAGCATTAGTGTTTGGCCGCAGATGTAGGTAAGGTGGTTCTCTGGAAGAACAATTTTAGAAGTAACTCCATTGGTACTTTAAAAAAATTAATGCCTTATTTATCAGGCACCCACAGTCCAAACCGACGAATAAGCTCAATTTTCAATTGACTAAAATAATAACTAAATCCTGAAGGCTTTATTCCTTGTACCTAATTTGGTTCTCTGAAATATGGTGACGCTGTTATCCGACGCAACAAACCGTGTGAGGGGTCATCAACTTTTTGTCCAACAGTCAGGTGTTCCTAAATTTTTAAATAAAATTCTAAAACTATCTGACATTGGCTATATTCTTTATAACCAACATTGACTTACAAATAAATGGACGACGGGTCTAATACAAAAACCACGAAAATAATGTCCCAAGTAACCTATTCGAAATTTAAATTGTAATGTCATCGCAGTATCGCGCTGTCAGTCGAACAAATGAAGACTAAAGCGGAGTTTGGCGCTCTGTATACGATTTTAGCGCCTTACAAGTGCGGACACTTTTTAGCGCGGACCCGACGTCCATATAATTGTAAGTCAATGATAACCAATAAAAAAGACTCCAAATATTTCATAGATTTCTCACTAGTTCGTTCCGTGGCTTAGTTGACATGGCTTCTGGCACTGTATGTTGGAAGACGTTGGTTCGAATCCAGCCGGATCGAAGGAATTTGTTCTTAGTGTTCCAAGTGTGTTTTTTCGTTACTTGTAAAAAACTAACAAGGTAGCAGGAACGAATACTTGTTCCATCAGATCGAGTACATATCCAGAAATAGAGACGAAATGTCATTTCATTTTTTTTTAACTATTCTGCCAGATCATTACGGTGATAACTGCGCTCCGATTGGCCAGCCCGAATTCGAATCAATTAAGGTGTCGTCAATTGTTTCTGTTCAAATCGACCAGTTTTTGTTTTAATGATTTTGCTTTGCTATAATGAATGAAAATTGCAAAATTACATATTTAATTACCGATGAAATGTGATTCCGTTTGTTTTGCAATTAAATGTTTTGCTGTTTTTCCCACACCACGGAATGGAACAGCCCCCCTTAGTTAGAGATATTATCCTTATTACAATAAATATAGAATATGTTTGGAATATACAGAGACGTACACATTGGTCAGTTGTTGGTGCTGTACTATTCCAGCTTTCTAATTTGTGATTTCAGTGCAAACGAGAGTTGTCATTTAAAAGTCTCTATTTCTGGTTATATACCCGGTGTTCCATCATGTTAAATGTAAAATGTCAGTAGATGTTTTTTTATGCATTCGCTACAATGTTCGTAAGAAAGTTGATTGACCCGTAAACTGTCTATTATGGTAGATGCACATTGGTAGGTAGAGCCAATAAAGAACTAATAAAACAATCGGTTAACTTTACTGCCAATTTTCTCGATCAACGTATTTCATCTTGTGAAGCAATAATAATGGAATGTCACGTTACATATCGAGTTCACAGGTTTTCGTGATTGCTATTTACTTATATTGAAAACGTAATTATTTTTTCACATCTAAATCGCGTATATTCGTTTTTTTTAAACAAACCATCGTTTCAATGGAAATAAAAATTATTAAAGAGTCGAGCTGCGAATTAAAAATTTTCCCGACCAATTCAGTTCGTTTTGTTTGGGTCGAACGGCAGGGTTTTAGGGTTTTAGGTTTTATTTCATAATTTATTTTTTTACTAACGTAATTAAAGCCGTTGTACGTTGTGAAAACAGTGTATTTTTTATAAAATTTCGAGATAGAGAGTGTTTTCATATCGTGAAAATTTTTAGGCATCGTGTTTTCACACCGTATAGTAATCAGTGTATATACTTAATTTTAAGTGACTTGATTTTTTTAAGTCACTGATTCAACATTTTCACTATTATGCAGAATCAACTAGAGCCACTTGAATTTAATCTGCATTGAACTGTTAGTTTAATCGGTTATTTGATTTGAAAAGCTTGCAATAACCATCAGATTTAAAGAATAAGTTACCGATTCAATTTGGGTATAATTAATAAAAAAAATGGCAACACTACAAGATATTCGCGGAGTTGTAAAAAAAAATTAAGATGGAAATGAATTCATTCACGGGCTAAACGTTAATTTCCTGAAAATATATATACTTTTAAGGGGATAACCTATCACAAACTCGAATTCTTTTTTTCCGAAATAACGTGTGTTCGAATTTTCATTACATCGAAAACCGAATTATAACGAATCCATTATTCTTTCAGGATATGTTGGATGTTTATCGCAAAGACACGATTAGGTTAGGTTTAAGAAAAAACATTTTCCTCTCAAAATTACTTTCGAGGTTATGAACATTCGACCAAACGTTATTTCTGGAAAATGTCACTTCGGACCACTGATAGGTAACCTTTTAAGGGCCTTAAGGTATTACAACTAATATGTACTATAGGTGTAATGTTTCAATTTAAAACTATATGCTTATAGAACTAAATCTTCAATTAAGAGGAATCGCTGTGTCCAGAAATGAGACGTATATCGGTTTGACGATGGTGGTGTTTTATGTGACGACTGGACATTAATCTGCATAACAAATTTGGCAGAATACGTCCAATTATCTATAGATATGTGCCCTTGAACGGATTCAAAGCAGTCAAGGTTTTTGATGTGCCACATGGGTGAACCGTAGATGATTGTCACTGCGAACCGCTGAGCCATCGACGACCTAAGTGATGATCAAAAAGGGTAAGGGTGCATTTCCACTGGCGAGGCGAGACGAGACGAGGCGAGACGAGAATTAAAAATCTCGCAACTCTATTTCCACCAAAAATTGCCATTAATAGACATCGCGAGCTTTATTATCGTAGTTGTGGATAGTGAATATTCAGTGCTATTCAGTTCATCTAGCGATAAATACGCGACTGAAGTGTGATGTCCCGTAAATTTTTGTTATTAAATGTGTTAACGGAAGTAGAATTAGATCAAGCCATGGTTGCAGAGATAAGAAATGCTCTATTTAGTAGCAGTAGAGCTCCTTGTCAAAGAGTTCGTCCAAGGAAGTACTGCCACCTTGTCTATTTATACCGCCAAGCAGTAATGTCAGCATCACTGTGTTCCGGTTTTGAAGGGTAAGGGTGCTGGTGAAATTACAGGCACATGGGACTTGGCAACTTATGTCTCAGGCTGACGGGCGCAGTGGTAGTGCGCTTCAGATCTTTGCGATTTAAAGAGCTGAGTGGCACTGCAACTGTTATGGACAGGCGTGTAGCTTACCATCAGGGGCACGATTTGTTCGTCCCGTTACTTGATATTATAAAACACAAGGCAGCAATAAGGTTCAATATACATCAACAAATTATCAATTCTCACCTTGTACATCCTCATCAATACAGACCATTTCCCACCGAAGTTGCGCTAAGAGACAGCCACACAAATTTAAATCCTCGTCTCGCCTCAACTCGTCTCGCCTCGTCGTTGGAAAGCACCTTTAAAATTTAGTACGTAGGAGTACAGATGTAATAGACAGGCAAAGTCACCATTGTAGATAGGCATATATATATATATATAACGGGGGAAACTTCGGAGAGGCATTTACAGAGAAACTATCTTCCATAGTTGCCAATGTGGCTGAACGGTTACCATGCTGGTCTGTTACGCAGAGGTCCCGGGTTCGATTTCTGCGCCAGGAGAAATATTTGTATAGCCTACATTTATTTCTCTCGTGAGTTTGGGTATAATTTGTAATTTGTCTGTGTGTATCCATGGCACCCGTGACACAGTCCCTAGTGCGGGGCTGAGAGTGTGTGCGTTATTTATTTATTATTTATTTATAATTGCGGTGGTTCAGATTTAGGTGGTTTAGATCAATACCTGATGTACCTTATTCACTCACATAATGATATTGACATTCTATATACTTAGATGTATTATTTATGTGTACATATTATAGGTAGATATAGCCAATAAAATAGCAAAATGTCACCCCTGTAAGTCATACATTGGTTCCAGTAGAGGATGCCCATAATGCAAACAGACTCCCCACTATGAGCGATGACGCTGCGTTTATAAATGAGAACGACATGCCACACGGGCGTTGCGTTCGTAGGAACGCGTGCGTGGCGATGCGTTGAAATGGATGTGGCATGGCTCTAATACATTGTGCAAGGTAGCAGCCCGTCCTAATGTTTTTATAATATTCCCTCAGGTTACGGACGCTTTAGCCGCAGTGCGCTAGGCGCGTGCGCGTGCGCATTCTTCACGACGGGTGTTGAGAACTGCGTCATGTCATACGTGCTGCCGGCGGCAAAGTGCGAGCTGCAACTCACTACTTATACGACCGGGCTCATTAACATGGCTTTTATGAGTGGTAAGTTTCCTCAAAGAAAATTAGAAAATATAAAGCAATTAAGCCACTTATTTGTGTAACTTTTTTTTACTTTGTGCCTGTCTTTTGTTATTCAGTGCAAGTAAATTAATCAATAGATTAGAATCAATCATAAGATACTGTATTATGTTCTGGGGTAATGCCAAACGAAGTACGGACGTGTTGATTGCACAAAAAAGGTGCATTCGGGCAATTTGTGGGTTGTTCTAGGACAGCTGTATACCGCAATTTCAAAAACTGAGATTATTAACAGTGCCTTCAATATATATATTTGAAACGGTTCTCTTTGTTCGGAGAAATCTCACACTCTTCAGCAAGGTGGAAAGTACACGAAGACACAATATTTTTTATTTGAAACTGGTTGCCTGTAAGGCTACCCTCTTTCATGATAATATTTGTGCGATGGCGCCAAAACTATACAATAAGCTGCCTAATTATACACTTGAGACTAACGACAATTCCAATTTTAAAAAGCGATTATTATATTTATTGACTGGGAAAGCATATAAAGTCAGCGATTACTTAAATGGCAAGAACATAGAATAATAGTTAACCACCACAAAATAATGGCATAAATATAATTAAGAATTAAAATTAAAATTAAGATTTGACATTTTGTAATTAAAATATAGTAGTATACTGTTAAATTAATTTATTTATGTAAATTGTATGTCGTAAAATTGGCAATACGTACTGACACAACAATTAAATAAGACCGTATAGACGTGCGTACACAATAAATGATTTGATTTGATTTGATGCATAGTAAAACCAAGATGTAAAGATCAAGCAAACAAAGAATTATAACTTGTTTAATTAAAAATAACCGACCTTAAAAATTCGTGGAATTACAATTGTTTGCCAAGTTTTATTGGATTCGGTTACCGGAAAGTGCGCGAAACCTTAGAGGAGGAATATTTTCTACAAATTTAAATGGCATCAATACTGAGGTTCTACTCATAATATGACGTATTTCTTTATTATATAAATAAATAACAATTTTAATTAATAATTGATACCTCGGCCTACCTCTGCTGTTATTGTTATCCCTAATAAAGGGCTCACATGTGTAGCATTATTTTAAATTTAAGACATGTTTACCATGAATGCAGTAAATATATTGAGTATTGAGGTACTCCCTTTCCAACAAAAAATGAAACATCAAAATCGGTTCACACGTAGAAAAAAACATACAGTCGAATTGAGAAGAAACTCCTACTTTTTTAAACACGGTTATAAAGCAATTTTAAACAAGGAAGGTTGTCCATTAACAAAGTCAAATCCTTGTACTGTTAATGTACAACAGTACGAGTATGTTGCTTTGTCGTCCTTCTCTTCATTATCACCCATATCTGATATTATACATGTCTCAATCGAGTGAATGACTATAAAAAATATTTTATTTGCTCCTATACGAAAACGAACCACTTTATTAACTAACAAAAGCAATCAAAATAACGCTATAATAACAGTAAAGACCATCAAGACTTCATCCTGGGAAGTACGGCCATCTTAACTATTTCTGCCACCAAGCAGTAATGTAAGCAATACTGCGCTGCAGTTTGAAAGGTAAGAGTCTTGATGGAACTACAAGCGAGACTTGTCCACGTTATATCTCAGATTGACTATTTATTAATTGGTCAAGCAACGAATAAAAAAGAAACCCTTGTTAAGTCCACGACTTGTTCCTTCCGCCACTTGGTAACCGCTACGGAAGCAGACCTTTGCTGAGTAGTACAATGCTTAATAATGCAGTCTAAATATTTGACGCTTGGTACTAACAGACCTTTTCGTATTCGATATCTCCCATTCGAAACCAGTCAAGCGCGTTGCTGCCACATTCATAATGTCATCTAGTAATAAGTAATTCACTATTGGATATGAGACTCCAGGAAATAATGATGTTGCTGACTTGGGAAAGTTTGAAAGGCTGTTAAAAATATGCTAGATATACAAGGTACTTTTACAAGAGCGTTCCAAATGTTTATTTTTTCTAAAAGGCATCTCTGAATAATATAATAAATCATCATAAGGGTTCCAACACTTGACACTCATGGAAAACAAACAATAACACTGCCTTAAAAAACTGAAAAACCAACCATCCAAGGGCTAATGTCCACATATCGCACTGTTTTTACAATAGTGTTGTAACTCAAAATACGTGAAATTTAATATTAAGTCATTAATGAACGTAAAATTTGCTGAATCGAATTGCCTTATTTCTAGTAGTATTTGTGTGAGCCTATTCTTACCAATATTTAAGCTCTGCACATTATAAATTTTTTATTTCCTAAAATTCTCCTCAAGTGACTTTGATCATTTATTTCCCTGGACTTTACAAATATCAAATACGTTCATAGTTTAAGTAATTAGCATGCATTTTGGTTGTTACTGTAAGTTTGCATTGTGTTTTAATGAAGAAATAAATATAAATAGTGGCACTTCGGATCGTTGAACTCATTCTATGGCTGAAGGACCTTCTGGTCGTTGGCGCATTGGACAAAGCTAATAAAAGGCGAAGAATTTCACCTATGCTCCCCAAGGACCCAAAAGTTTCTTCCGAATAAATCATAAAGCTCTAGCACTGAGGTTAGAGTACGTAAACACGAGATCATTGACACGTGAGGTGTGGCATGCACTGAAGTAAAGCCAATTATTTGTCCGCAAACAGCTTAATTCACTTTACACAAACCGTTTCCTAAATCGCAATTGTAACGCGGATGGAAGTCGCTATAAATAGAATAATACAGGTCCAAACACAAGGTAGCTGTTGTACACTGTCGAGGAGTCCTATCAACTATCTGCCATTTTGATCTTCATATCAGCTCTACGCCACCATTATATTTTATTTTCATTCACATTCGACGCGCGCGCGCGCGCACGCACACACACATACTTTTTCATATACAAATGCACACACATACGTTTTAAGATTCAAATTAAATTTAAAATTAGAAGTTAAGAAAATTGAAAATTGTTAAAAAAAAATTGTTTGTTTTGTTTTTGTCGATGTTTGGAAATGTAAAAACTAAACACTACATTAAGTATAAGTTAAAAATGTTAAATATGCATTTATAGCTATGGAAGAGCGGTGCCTTCTGACACAGGCTTGATAAGCTTAATAGGAGGTACCATCCACTGTTCATGTAAAGTTAATTGTATTACTGAAATAAACATTTATTACTATTATTATTATTATTCAAATAAAATTTATATACAAGTTTTATTAAAATCGGTTAATGGAAAGTTAAAGAAAATTAATAAACCGGATTCATTGCCATATTTGCCATATTAAAAAGGATCCGCAAAATCTGTTCAGAAAAGTTTATATATATACAATATTAAGTGACGAGATGAACAAGTCGTTCGCCTGATTGTAAGCTACACGTCCGTCCATAACAGTTGTAGTGTCCTCAGAACTTTAAATCCCAAAGATCTGAGGGGTCAATGCCACTGCATCCGTCATCCTGAGACATAAATCAACAAGTCCCATGTGCCTGTAATTTCGCCATCTCCCTTACCCTTCAAAACCGGAACACAGTAATGCTGACATTACTGCTTGGCGACAGAAATAGGTGAGGTGGCAGTATTATACTGGATGAACTCTTTCACAAGAACCTCTACTGCTACTATAATGTCGCAATAAATATGTCGAAGTAATCGCGTAAATACATAAAAAATGCGGAAGAGAACCTCTTCCTTTTTTTAAAAATCGACTAACAAGAGGTACAAACGGTCGTAGTTTATTAATGTCTTCCAAAAATTTAAATCCAAAACGGTAATAGAACATAGTTTCCTTCCAAGAGCCAGTTTCGGCACCGATTAATTAATAGTTACTGCGTAACATACATCACTCACATACAAAATCGAAAATACCTACGCTATAATAGACACCTGGCGCTCACTACGACAAAAATGAACCTAAGTACGCGCTCATAGAGGTAAAAATAACGTTGCCCGCTGTGTGCAGTCGTGCGGAACCGAATGCTGGGGTTGTACAAGGATTATGAAGTAAATAATTGACTTGTCTAAAAGCGCTTGCTTGTTGCGTAACATCGAACGAGTTGTTACTCGTTGGGCAACAGTGGGGTTTTTTTAGAAGTAATTAACTAACGGACCATATGATTAAACATTCTGTTTAAATTAACTGAAAACAAAAGCTTTCATGTTATTACAGGCAAGCTATGTTTGCATATTATTGAGTACTTTATTTTAAGTGTAACTTGACCGGAAAATCTAATTTAAACCGGGTCACCAACTGAGTACACTTTATATAAACGCTGTCATGAAAATATTAGTGACGTAAAAGTATTTTGTTTAGCATTTTTTCGAAATGTAGGTACCTATGTAGAAATAGTGAGAAATACTGTTCAAGAGATGGGCTTTGCAATAATCAATCAAAATGTGAAAAATATGTTATAAAAAATACCGTTCTTGAATCGGTAAACACGTTTGGACTCTTCTTCTTCGATCTTACCTATTTCTGCCACTAAGGAGGAATGTGAGCCTATCTGCGGTCCGGTTTTGAAGGATACATGGGACTTGTCAACTTAAGTTTCTGGGTGACGGGTACAGTGGCAGTGTCCCTCGGATCTTTGCGATTAAAAGCTCTGAGTGTCAGTGCACTGCAATTGATAAGGACGGGCACACGATTTATCGTTCCGTCACTTAATATTCTTAAAAAAAGTATATAGACAGAGGCACAGACAAAGGCTTCAAACCAACGACTTCAATCTATAAACAAGAACATTCACATTAACTATTATGTTCCGAACAAAACACTATCAATAGTGACAATGTTTTGTTTTAGTTTTGAATTGTGTCAAAGAGTATCGGTACCGTAGTATCGTGGACAGACGTGACAGTGTATACCTATTGAGAATGAGCTAGGCAGGGAATATTATCTAATATAGGATGTTTACTAATGATGTTTGTCCATAGTTGGGAAATTAACGTAACGTTTGGCAAAGTCGCTATTCGTTGCACAGACATTTCATTTTGCTTAGACCTTCCATTTACTATTTATAATATTTTTTTTTAACGCACACACTCAATATAGCCGCATATTATAATAGTAAAAAGAAAAACAAATTAAGTCTAAGAAAAAAATACAATCGAGTTGTTGAAACTAATGATGTTAACTTATGTACTTTTCCTTGCGGAAAGGCAAAGATCTTTAGACCATGCAGCCTAGCCATTTTTTATATTTTTTAAATTTATATAATGCTAACCATAGTAACTGTTTTATACATACTCTATTATTATGTGGTCAGAACACTCTGTTGCTTATTAATCTATGACACTGAAGTGTTGTGTCAGAACCGCACATCAGTGACACAATTTGTGGATGAAACGCCCCGTACGCTAGTACTTGGATATCGTTGCTTTAAAGTTATAATTCCCCTCTTTTTATTTCGTGGGTTAACATGCGAATAAATGATAGAAATGAGTCATAAAACATTTTTCAAGAATTACATGTATGAGGTACAAGGACGAGCGCCAGCGAGGCCTTGTATTAATACAAGTCAAGCAATCCCCGTTCACGCCGAGGCATGTATAGAATTTTTCTCAAACAATGTGAGGAAATAATAAACGACTAAAGAAAAGAAGATGTACAACAGAAAAAGTAAATAATATAATAAAATATTAATTAATACTAAAAGTAATATTTGTCGTGTTAGGACAATTGCTAAGAGAAAATGTTTTTGTTTTTTTTTAGGCACATTAGTAGTTTGCTCAACTTCCGTTGATGTGTTAGAGTGTGTCTATTACTGTATTTTCTTTATCGCTCTTCTCACTAGCACTCATTTTCGTTACCAAAATACAAAAAGACCAAAAAGAAAAGAATACCAAAACACTTTAGTTTAAATGTTACCGCCACCTGTACCGTTTCCTTATTTTTTTATAATTTTTAATTCCCGCAATTAGAACACTGGGCAGTTGGCTGTATGCGTTTTTCTTTTACCTGTTTACATAGTTCATATTAGTAGGTAGGTTTACAATTTTAGAGAAAATGACACAAAAGGATTTTCATACATATTTTGCAGGTCTTGGCCGGAAAGAAGTCTCACGGTCCTTAAATGACTAACTTCCTGTGTTCGTTTTTTGAAAGTAATGCAAACATTTCCGAGCTTGTTTGAGAACACGTTATTTTCAGGTGGAGTGGCCAGTGCATTCTTCTGGGGCATAGTGGCTGACGTGTTCGGCAGAAGAAACATCCTCTGCACCACGTTATTGTTGAATGCAACTATCACACTGGTACAGAGCACGGTCTCCGATTATCGAGTACTGCTGGCCGCGAGATCTATAAATGGATTTCTTATTGGTAAGTCTAGATACATTTTCTTAACATGATTCGGACTTATACAGGGTGGAAAAAAACAATCGTAGTTCCCCTTAAATGCTTGAGAGCCTATTCTCACCGGGTCGGTTCCGGATTTTAATCAGATTTTCTAGTGGCAGAACGTTTTCCATGAAGCCATTCACACTTATCTAAAACCGATTTTGTGTCGGCGCCGACAAGAAATGTCGGGTGTTTGCCATCAAAAAAATAGTGTCAGATCTCGCTCGCCTACGAATAAGCAAATCGATGTTTACATTTGTCGGGTGTTGGGCCGACAACCCGCTCCCCGCTACCCCTTGTTTTTTCCCTCATGATTAGGTGCACCCAATATTTTCTTTCCTTAGTTGTCTTTATTCGTTTTCTTCTCAAATAATCCTACATCACAACAAGAGCTTCGTCGACGTCTATCGCGCACAGTCACCTCGCGTAGTGTGCTGAAAATTGGCGCCAGCTTCGACTATGGCCGATAACTGATAAGCATGAACGGAGGCGACGACATCCCATTAAGATCCGGGCCCGACAGCCGACTGGTGGGAACGGGCTGTAAGACAGCCAATTTTACTTAAAGAAAACATCGAGGAGGCCTCCCTACCCTTTTTCCACTCTTCGCGATTTAACGCCGCTACAGGCCGAGATCTCATATATGTCCAATTCGTCCCGCCATCTCGTTCTGGGTCTTCCACGGCTTCGTCTTGCGTTTGGAGGGATCCACTCCGTAGTAGTCTTTGCCCACAGCTCGTTTGACATGCGGCAGATCTGTCTGGCCCAGTTCCATTTTAAGCTCGCGACTTTATGGCCAACGTCAACGATTTGTGTTTTGGAGCGCAGTATGCTGTTTCGTACGCGGTCTGACAGTTTTACTTCTAAGAGACTGCGTTCCATGCCTCGCTGACATACTCCTAATGCGAATTTCTGATGATTCGTCATAGACCAAGTTTGAGCACCGTAAGTAAAGACGGAGAGAAAGCGCGCGTTTCGAGCTTTCTTTTGAGGGATAGTGGTAATTTTCCTTTCGTCAGGTCTTTCATTAACCGAAATCTTCTTCAGGCATTTTACGTGCGTTTTGCAACCTCTTTTACTTGTCTTGCCTGTTCGAGAGAGACTATTTGGCCAAGGTAAATGTACTCCTGGACGTACTCAATCCCCGAACCTCCCACACTCACACTGTGTTGCGTGCATGATGAATAATATATATTATTGGGTATAATAAATTGCGTGACGAATAATTGCATTCACAATTTTTTTTTTAAACTTACCTGAGCAGGGAATCAAACCAAATAAAAATGCTAAAAAATAAACATTATCTTAAGTATGAATTCTTTCCTGTAAACATTGAGCCCCACAATTAAAGACGTCCTTGAAAATTTATTAGTATATAACAACACTTGCGGGCGTTTGTGGTACCGTCGTTGTTTCCGATTGCCATAACACAAGTGCTTTAGCTACTTACTGTGTGATCAGAGCAACGTATTTGATGGTGTCTAATATTAAAAAAGAATTTCATAAACATTAGGAAAACACATTTTATATTTTTATAAATTCCTTACGCCTATGGCCTTTTTAAGGGCCGCGTAAAGAAAAAGACTAAAAGACCTTTGAGACAGTGGAAAGGTCGACGCACAAAATGTTATTATGAGCATCAGTGACAATGTTATGTGCATATTTAATCGTAACCAAAGCTACAATACAATACAATACAAATATTCTCTTTGCACACTGGGACAAATACATAATAATACAAAAAAAAGGTAGACAGGTACAATAGGCGGCCTTATTGCAAAAAAGCTGTCTCTTCCAGGCAACTTTCGGGTTACAGGAAAATCTGTAAGATATAATTAATGAAAAGCGCAACAGAATACGTATTTAATACAAATATTGCACATACACAAATGAAAAAAGAAATACTAAAAAAATTGTAATAAATAAAAAAGAAGAAGAATATATAATAATAATAACAAACAAAACATAAAAGATAACAATAATAATGCTAATAATAATTACCTATGTGTTTTAATTTATTTGGTTTAGAATCGGTAGTAAAATTAGATTTTATAGACGTCTTTCAGAGCGGTTACACACGACTTTTAGTAGAGATACATACGCGTGTTTGTGAAACATGCTATTGAATCGCGACCAGAGATGGACCAGCACCCGGGTTTTTACCCGGCGCTTTGTTATCGACGGGTTTAATTCAAGTAAAATCCCATTAACGCCGGAAATTGAGAGCAAGAACTATTTAAAACTAAACATTTGTTGCAAATCGAATTTTGTTGATATTGAATGATATTATTACAAAACGTTTATTGCTTTCTAATCTAGAAGGTTCGATTTGCCTTTCTATTGAATCGATTCACTTGAAAATCGATACAAAAATCGTTAGATCGTATGCACTTGAATAGATTTTCATAAAAATTTTGTCGTAATTTGCATCCTTGGTAGTGGGTATTGTGTACAGTTGTCGCTTTTTCATCTATCTTTTTAGTAGCAGTAGAGTTTCTTGTGAAAGAGTTCGTCCAGAGAAGTACTGCCACCTTACCTATTTCTGCCACAAAGCAGTCATGTGAGCATTACTGCGTTCCGGTCTTGAAATTATAGACACATGAGATTGATGGTAGTGAAATTATAGACACATGAGATTTGTTAACTAACGTCTCAGGGTGACGGGCGTAGTGGCAGTGCCCCACAGATCTATGCGATTTAAAGCTCTGCGTGGCACTGCAAGTGCTCTGGACAGGTGTAGCTTACCATCAGGCGCACGATTTGTTCGTCCCGTCACTTGATATTATAAAATAAATTAAAAAAAAAAATTACTATCAAATTTGTAATAACTATGGAATTTATACCAAATTCTGTATTTGCCGTTTCTGCCCCTGATTTTGGGCAGAAATTTTATTTATTTATTTTATTTATTTATTTATTTATTTCCACACTTAATCTATTTTTACAGGTTTGACCCAATACAATAGATCAGCAATAACTATAACTACCTATATCTAACTATAACATAATATGTAAAGCGCTATCTTCGTGAATTCACTCAGAGAACAGTGGAATAGGTCGATCGTATTTGCTATTTTATTCAGTGTCCTCAACGCGCGCGTCAGCGGACACTCAGCCAATAGATTGGTCCTCAAATTGGTTAAACCTTTGGGTAAAACCCGAACGGGTTGACTGGGTGAACCCACTGCCCATCTCTGATCGCGACGTTTGCAATTTACAGGGGGTGGCATCGTTGCAAATTACCTTCATTTCACAGGTATGTCAACGAGCACGTCATCTGGAAATTCAACTCTTTGGCAAATAAGATTTACAAAGCACTAAGCCTCGACTGCACTTCTGAAACAACAATAATACTGACCCGCGTAACCATAACCGATTAGAAACGGTCCTACCATTTTGATTACTTACCGCATATCGATAACGTATCTCGTAAGCCGTGAGTTACGACATCGTTACAGTACAAATGTATGTTATGTATACTTTGAAACAGTTACGCGGTTCAAAAGACGTCATCGACTGGCTATTGACAAACAAATTACTCGCGTTGATTGTTAAATCGATTTACTAAAGCATGAAACTTTCAATGTTTTGAAAATATTTTTTGCGGTACGCTTATATCGATTCCGATCGAAAATTGGGAAGAAAATTAACATGATACACTTTGTGTCCAAGGTTTTGATTACCATTTACTTTGGGTTCATTAAGTTTTTCGCTCAACGTACGTTTCAACGCTTCAACAACTTTTTAACGTACATACTCATAGTCCCGCACTAGGGAAACCCTGTGTCACGGGTGCCATGGACACACACGTAGACAACCACAAATTACACCCAAATTCACGAGAAAAACAAGTGAAGGCCATACAAATATTTCTCCCAGCTCGGGAATCGAACCCGGGACCTGTGCGTAGCTTTCCAGCATGCTAACCGTTCGGCCACTGAGGCAGTTAAATAAATATAATAGAGACGTTGCTCAATGTTTGTATTCTACCATCTTTATAATGAGAGGTGATCAGAGGAACTGGTGCCGCTGTTACATTTCCACCACCGCACCTCCCGCGAAAGGAGTAGAACCCATCCCCTATATCCTTGTAAGACCACATAGAACACAAGAATGATCTTCCCCTGAAGTATTCCCTTTGCTCTTTGGCATGGAATTCTTCAAAAAGAGTGTCAAAAGGACTCTCAAGGCTGGTAACGAATAGGCAGCTCATTTGATGTTGCAGATGTCCATAGGCGACGTCGAGCACCTCCAATCAAGTGACTCGTCTATTCGTATGCCTCCTACTCTTCATTAAAAAAAATGGAAATTGCTGTTTTGTAATGTTCAACAGTTGCAATTTAAAATCCTAGACTTCCAACAGCATAATATAAAACACAACGATTTACCTTGGGAGCTGTAAGTTAGCATGATGAAAATACTACAGAGCTTAGTTTTTCTATAAAGTACAAGGTACAAAAAGAATAACTTAAATCTAGGCTGCTAACGGTGTAACAAAAATCATTTTTGGTTTGACCGTACATCGGCAGTCACCATCTAGGCAAAACACACAATATCAATAAAGAAGAATGATACTTGACTCATATGTGATGCTGTCATTAACTAAATTTATGCTATTTAAAATACAAGCAAAATGACAATAAAGAAATAAATATGGGAAGGTATCAATCCCATCCCACTACAGGAGACGAAATGAAAAGTCTACGAAATGTGGTGAAAGATATTCTGAGTCAAAATATCTTTCACCACATGGTCACGATCCTTACTACTAAAGTTACAGAAAATACAAGAACTATTTCCTACTTTAATGTCTTTTTACAACACTTAAACATTGAGCAAAATTTCTCGCGGAGTGATTAATGAAAGAAAATAAAAAACATTTATTGTTATCGTAACGATAGCGGCATGGACTTGTAGAAATAATATATACACAAGAATACGTGTTACGCATAAGCAAAAGTTCTCTCGTGAAGGTGTTTTAGCACCAATGTTAATAAAGAAACACACGAGAAGAAGAGAAAAATTTATAACGATAACGGATATGAACTTGTAGAAATAATATCTATAAACACGAACACAAGAATACATGTCAAGCATTAGCATAAATTCTCTCGTGAAGATGTTTTAGCACCAATGTTAATAAAGAAACACACGAGAAGAAGGGAATAATTTATAAAAAGCATAATCAATAGGGCTTCCAAAGCATTAGGCTTCATTATGAGGACATCTCTAAATTTTAAAAACTTAAAAACAATAAAAATTCTTTACTGTGCTTTTGTACGAAGTCATCTGGAATACGCGAGTCACGTTTGGAACCCCAACTATAAAGTTTACATTAATCGTATAGAGAATATCCAAAGGAAATTTTTGCGTTTCTTAGATTATAAAGCTCAAGTTTGGACATTAGGTTATATCAACCGATGCAAACGATATCATTTCCTTCCATTAGAACACCGACGTATAATAAGTGATATTTCTTACCTAATGAGCGTTGCTCGTGGCTCTATAGACTGTCCGGATTTACTTAATAAAATACAGCTCCGTACTAATACAAAAAGCCTCCGTGAACGACCATTGCTGAATATACCTTTGGTTAGAACCAATTACAGACAAAATTCCTTTGTATTGCGAGCCTCCTCTGCGTTTAATAAATGGTGTGTGGACTGTGATCTTGATCTGTTTTGTACTGGTATAGCTGCAGCGAAACGGCGTTTAACTTTAAAAATCTTTGAATGTATGTAGCATCAGATATGATAGTTGTAGCATCAACTGTTTTTTTTAATTTTTATATGTGGGAACTCATCATCAGAATTCGATTATTTATTTAATTTTCTAAGTGATTGTTTGTCTGTCAGTTCTCCGACAAGAAGTTAAATAAATAAATAAATAAATAACGATAACAGTCCTGGAAACTTTATTATTTATTATACTTACACGAACACGCGTTTCGCGTATCCAAGTCTCTTTATTATTTTTTATTTATTTATTTATTAATTACAAAAATACATTTTCTTAATCTAGAACATAGTCCCACAAAACTGAATTATTCAGTTTGACTGCGGGATCAAAACATGAATCTCGCTATTACAATATTAATAATTAATCTAAACTAGTCTCTTAATACCAGTTTCCGTTTTCAGTCACAATCCATATTGCTGTGGTTTGCCGAACTAATTTCGAAGCATCGAGTATATAACCAAAAATAGACACGAAATGTCCTTTAATTTGTTTCAAAACTATTCTGCCAAATCATTACGGTGACAACTGCGCTCCGATTGACCAGCCCGAATCGTCAATTGTTTCACTTCAAATCGTTTAACTTGAGCTTTGCTATAATGAACAAAAATTGAAAAATTACATATTTTATATTAAATTACCGATGAAATGAGATTCCGTTTGTTTTGTGATTAGATGTTTTGCTGTATTTCCCACACCACCGAATGGAACAGCCCCCAATAGTTAGAGATATTATCTTTATTACAATAAATACAGAATATTTTTGCAATATATGATACGCGCAGATCAGTTGTTGGCGCTGGACTATATATAGATTTCTAATTTGTGATTTCATTGCAAACGAGATTTGGTATTTAAATGTGATATAAGGCCCATTTGGCCCTTAATAAGGCCCTTATTTCGTCTCTATTTCTGGTTATATACTCGATGTTTAGAAGAATTTACCAAGACAGGTCGTGACGGTATTCCCTACAGACAATACCCGAAACAGAAATTGCAATAAGGTATCTGTGATTATAGACGCAAAATATATATTTACAGGTGGACCTTCAACGCTGGTATTCACATACTTATCAGATCTGGTGGGAGTGAGGAGGCGGCAGTTCTATCTCACCATTACGGGCATGAGCTTCGTGGCCCCCTGGCTCATACTTCCTGGTAAGATCTAGGATAAAATTATGTTAAATGACTTATGAAATACTCTAGGTTATTATGTAACTCGCATGTTGACAGTATAGCAATTAAGGCTTCTCGATCACTTAGATGTGCGGTGTGCCAAAGATTTTGCACCGGTGAAAACTATAAAAATACTATATTGCTTATTTGTCCGTAGCATTTTAGAGTACGCCAGCCAAAGAACGATGGCAAAATCATATTTAAAATAATTCGTCTTCAAATGTCTTAATTACAAGTTTGAATAAAATCAATTCATTTTAAATTTTAATTAATTAATATTTTAATTTTAAGGGTTTCTAAATTATAAAAGTGGCCTATATAAGTCTGGAAATAAAATCCTATACACATGTATGAAACTCGAATAACTAATTAGTATGTAACCGAAATGATATCTACAACTATCAGTTTCTTAGTTTTTCAACTTTGAGCGACATCTAGCGGCCAAAAAAGGAATTTCAGTACCTAAGTATGGACATCGTTAAAATTTAGTTTACGTAATATCAAATGTGCTGATTCGGTCGATTTGTAACAAGCTAATAAAAGATTAACTACTTCATTACAAACAACAAAGTCGCTATTTCTTCTCCATAATGTCTAATGCCACGCTAGAAAATAGTAAAAATGACAAAAAAGTTCTCAAATTTAGGGACAGATGGCACGTTTCACAAAAAAAATGTGTCCGAGTTACCAGTGCAATAGTCTGTGGTATGTTATTAATTTAACTCAGTTTTTTGTTATGGCTTAACGTCATGCCTTTGACCAGTATGCAAAAAAATTTCCTCTGAACTCTCGTAACGTCACAAACCCACGGCACCATTCAACTTCTATTAACTCTGTATAAGATTTCTGTAGTTTATTTTGATATAATGTGACGTTATATGTTTTATTCAATTACGTAACACATACCTAACCTCCAAAACTTCAAACTGGATTTTTAAAATTCCTGGCTTCTCAGAATAATAAATCGAAAACAAAATTTGTTCAGGAATTTCAACTCTATATTTTCACATATTTTTCATAAAAGGACGCATACAAATTATGTCTATCTATTAATTATGTGTGTGTAAAGCACTAGCCTTACTGAGAATCGGATGAAGTCCAAACGTGTTGATCCGGGGTTAGACCTGACTTAGATGGTCCCTGTGCGGGTTCCCTCGCCCAGGCAATAGTGCCCTTCCCGTAATAAAAAAACTTACGTAGAAAGAAATGGCACTGTCCTTTGGAATTCTCGTTATCATATTTACATTTCGCGGCTTGAAAATATACAAAAAAAGTTTATTCGTATATTTTTCTGCTATCGAATAAATGTCAGTTACAATTCTGCTAAATAAAACAATCTCTACAGGAAGCATCATCTCCTAGAACTTGAAATTCATCGTGATATTAGAGACTTAAAAGTTTTGTTAGAAATAGCACCGAATCCGGCCCCTAGCATCTATAGGTCGGTATACTATCGGTATCCACGAGTCACCCTTGCCGGTGGTAGGTACTATTAAAACTCGTTAACCAGAAATTAGTCACTATATTCTCGAACACAGTTGCAGTACAATCATAATTCATGTAGAATTTCAGTAAATCAACTTTAAAAAAAAAAACAATAATTAACAGTCTTCAATTAATTACAGTCTTCCTAATCTAAAATGGCACTAATTTACTTCCCTATACCAAGTCACTAAAATCACTTTTATTTACACTTTACACAGTAAGGCTTACAACTTATGTGGTTTTTCTTTTTTTTATATCAAGTGACGGAACGAACAAGTAGTGCGCCTGATGGTAAGCTACACGCCTGTCCATTACAGTTGCAGTGCCACTCAGAGCTTTAAATCGCAAAGATCTTAGAGGCACTGCCACAGTGCCCGTCACTCTGAGACATAAGTTGACAAGTCCCATGTGCCTGTAATTTCACCAGCAGCCTTATTACCCTTCAAAACCGGAACAGAGTAATGCCGATATTACTGCTTGGCGGCAGAAATAGGTAAGGAGGCAGTACTTCCCTGGACGAACTCTTTCACAAGGAGCTCTACTGCTACCAATTTTAAGCTACTGATCTTCCTTGAAATAAATGAATAAATAAAAAAGAAAATTACAGCTTTGTGTTTAACTACAAAGGTTTGGGTTCGCAGTGTGTAGAATTTTGAGATAAAAATAAGGTCTTAAAATCATATGCAAATTATATACAGAAACTGAAAAGTAGCTATAGATACAGCGCCACAGTCAATTATGGCTGTGTGGCTTATGCTGAATGAAGTGGTTTTGCGTTCGCCACAACCGCACAAATGACAGTACAAAATGTGTAGTCTTCTTTTTTTGCTTTTTGTCAGTTTTGTCTTATTCTATGTGTTTTTTTTGCTTTATTGTATTTTTTATTTTGTTATCATTGTCTGTGTTATCAATATTTTTTTGTATCTATGTGTTGCGGCGTTGTAATAAATGTCTATTCTATTCTACTTAGACTACTAATTTCGAATAATGTACAATGGTAAAGACAAAATATTTCTCGTTTTCAGCAATCGCGTGGTTGGTGATTCCGTTCAAAATCGCCTACTCCACCGTTCTACCTATCTACTCCTGGCGGTTATACCTGGCCCTGGCGAGCCTTCCGGCCTTTATTGCTGGCTTTTGGACGCTACTTCTACCGGAGAGTCCAAGACTGCTATCTGACACAAATAGAACTGAAAAGGCTTTGCAAATCTTGGAGAATATATTCAAGAGGAATAAAGGAAATACCGAGGTTTTTAAGGTAATCATTTATCTACTTGTTTCGTCAGCTTTCCAGGTACGTCTTCATTGGTCTTCATCATTCTGAGGACATCAGTCAGATTCTTTGTGATTAGGGTGAAGGAATAACAGAATTAATGGATTAAATAAATCTAACAAAGATGAAGATTTAACTATCCCGATATATCTCTTGACCTTGTTAGTCCACTCGGAGAACATGGAAGTAAACATCGTAAAATCTCCAACTTGTATTGGTCCTTACTATGCGCTTTTGGCGTTGGTATCCCACTCGGAGAACATAGCGACTTATCCGTAGAACAAAAATCTAAGTGTAAGACTACTTGTTCTCAGGACACAGTACGTTTCGTTCGTTCTTCTTCGCTGTGGATATCAGATCGACAGTTGTTCGATTTTTATTTCCGAAACAAAATAAGATATATAAATTATCAAAACACCTTTACATAGACCTTAGTTTGAATAACGAAATTATTCTCGCAATATACTTATTCTCTTTTCGCTATATAATCATATCGGACTCTGGTCTTCGGATGAGTCGATAGGAGTAAACATCGTAAAATCTCCAAACCATATTGGCCTAGTATGGCAGTCTAAGACGTAAACCCTGTCTTTAAAGGAGACCCTTGCGTAGTGGGATATACAGGGTGTAATAGTTAAGTGTGGCAGGTGATTATTCAGTAAATAAAATATCAAAAACCTTTAAACTGATATCGAAAGCACGCTAATTATCTAATAAGTAAAACGTCATGAATATCATTTTAAAATAAATTAGGAATATCCAAGACATTAACGTAAAAACACTCCCATAAATTGAATATGACATTCGTAGACTGGCTTAAGTTGACCTACTTAGAGATAACAATAATTATTGCATACTTTTGTGATATAACTCCTGTAGTTTTATAATGATTATTAATGCAAAGATCACACAGAAAACAGAAAAATGTCTTCAACCTGGTGGGACTTGAACCCACGACCCATCACTTTCTCGTACTATTACGTCACATGGTCAGAGCGGCAACATAGTGAAAATTCTACCGCGAATCTGTTATCTAATTCTATTAATAGAATCCTAATAACTACACATGTATCGGTCAGTCAACCGTGACCATGGGACCTGTAAAGGGCCCGAAACGTCGGTTTGTTTGAAAAAACTAATATACGCGATTTAAATCCGGAAAAATAGTTTCATTTCCTAGTCGTTATACTTATTATGTTACGTACTTTTGATGTCAATTCAAAGGTTTTGATTACGGAATAATAGCCTGGGCATACTTAACAATTACACCATGTATTATGAGTTGACGATGATGTTGATCTCGCCTCGTGATGGAGAAAGGACCATCACGCGTTCATCCGTTTAATATTAATTATCAAGACAAAATTTCATATTCACAGATAATTTCGATGTCTCCAACAAACAGTACGTCGACTTAATTTTTGGACCTGTTCTGTATTTTTTTTCTCGCAAAATTCGTATTAAATTTGTATTAAATTAATGTAAAATAATTTTTTGTGAAATTACTCTACTAGTTTATTATAATTATTAATACAAAAATCGAACACTCAGAAAAAATTACTTCGATCCGGTCGGATTGCAACCGACGTGACTTCTTCTGGCAAACAGTTAATTCACAATTAAGTTACAATTAATAGCGACATCTCTAGGCAGAGCCGCCCCCGTAGCATGGCTACGCATGATAGTCGCGTGCCGCGCGATAAAATTGAAATAAGGCACGCTGTCTGTGGCTGTTGGATCTAATTTAGATAGCCAATAGCCCGTGCTTATTTCATCATGCGTAGCCATGCTACCGGGGCTGGTAACTGTAAAGTTATCTAACTGGGTGACGAAATACTTTCACAGATTTCTCGTAGATGGCGTTACGACTCAAAAGTCGTTGAAAACCAAATACAACAGATCCGACAAACAAGCGTCTGCCACGGTTTGTTAGAAGACGTCTGTTCGAATCCGGCTGGATCGAAGGATTTTTTTCTGAGTGTTCGATCTTTGTATTAATAATTATAACAAAAGTCGTCGTTTTGTTTTTTATTTCGAATTTTGTTTTTTGTTTCTTTTTTTTTCACAAAATTCGGGGAGCATGATATTAGCAAATAAATACAAAAATTACCACAAAATAAAGTTAAGGTAGTTAAGGTATATAATATTCGGTAGGTATATATGTATATAATATAATATTCATTGGATGTATCGATTTGTAATAGTGTCCGAATTAAGAAAGGTCTCCAATGTAGAATGTAAAGAATTGTCTTTACATTCTTTAATTTGGACATTGGTCCAGCGAATAGATTAACAGAATAATTGGTCACCCGTTAACATCAATCAGCAAATTAACAACGATCTATCAATTTACCACGTAGCTATCAAACTAATTTCAGTCTTGAACCTGACACCTACAAACTAAGACCTATTTGATAGTTTGTTAGTACTTATTGTGGAAATACATTGGTTGTTTTCTAATTAGTCTTCGAGTCGTGAGCTACCGCCTCCCATTTGCTAAAATTATTTCATCGGAATAATTTTCTGTACCAACGTATTAACAAAAAGTATTAATGTACCAACATCTATCGAAAATGAATTCGAGTTCAGACGATACAAATTTAATATCATCTCTCGAGATGCAACTGAACCGGTACAACACGGTACTCGCATTTAGGCTCGTTCGGGTTCCGCTGCAAATATAAACCGAGCCTTGGTTCAGATGCTACAAACCCATCTGAAGTAGGTATCAATTGTTTTCTGCACACCAGTCTTACGTCATCATCACGCCCTGCTGCCAAAGGGCCTCAACTAAATTAAATGTTACATATTGGTCTTATATAGTTTTTCCAAAGTTATTGATTTAACACTTTCACTACTATGCCGAATCAATCAAAGCCATTTGAGGTTGTCCACTCCTAATGATATATAAAACAAAACGTATAAACTTACTTTCGGTTAATAATATATGATTTATTTTCTCAAAAAACACAAAGGTATAACTTAAACATTATAACTAACAATTACATAATCGGCCTTTGTGAGAGATTATCAAGTTACCGTAGTACTTTTTGAATTTCAGATAAAGAAATTAATTCCAGACGATATCTTCGTAGCAAAGAAACTGAACGGAGAGCAGAACAGAACGAGGGAACTCTTCATGGGTGTCCTTAAAGATCTGAAGATGTTCGTCTCCAAGGCGTATGCCTTCAAATCTAGCTTGATACTTTTCGTCTTCTTTGCAAATATGGCTGCGTAAGTATTTCTATCTAAAAATTTTACTTGCTTCAATAAAAGCACGCAGAAGTCCCGGGTTCGATTCCCGGGCCGGGAGAAATATGGCCATTGTATGGCCTACATTTATTTCTCTCGTGAGTTGGGTGTAATTGTCTATGTATGTGCCCATGGCTCCCAGATGCAGGGTTTTCCCAGCGCGGGGCTATGAGTGTATCTGTTATTAAATAATTATTAATAAAAAAAATCATTATTGTAAAAAGTTATATTGAATGTCAGCATGTTTCACCACAATGGTCTTCAATTTATTTTTTGTGAAATTGCTTCACTAGTTTGTTAATCATTAATACAAAGATCGTATACTTGGAAAATATTCCTTCGAACCGGCTGGATTTGAACCAAAACGTTTTCCAACGTGTCAGACGCTATGCCAACTAAGTACTTGGACCTTGCGTATTTTCTATGTGCTTGTTACAGATATTTGGTTTTGGTTTTTTTAACAGGTTTTTCGACAATTACTTTTGTGAGAAATCTGAGTGGATAAATAGATTTCTCAAACATGCGCAACGGCAAATAAGTCGTTTAACAGCCATAAAACAAAGATGGCATAGCGTCTGGCACGATTTGCTAGAAGACATTGGTTCGAATCTTTATAGTATTTTTATTTTGATAATATACAGGTAAGGTAAAAAAAGACAAAAAAAGCTTAAATATTAGAACGTAAAACTAGGATTTTTAAATTAGTTGAATAAAATTGGGTCTCCGCGGCAAGATGCCCAAAATGCTGACAGCGTTCCCCCTTTGTATTGCATTCCTAATACGTTGGGCAAGGTAGCTCTGCCGGCCCTTGGATTTCCCAGACAGTAATTTTGTATAGATGAAGGGCACCTACGTGCCAAAGGTTTCGACTCCAAAGGCTGTAAACAGGTAGTCAAAACCGAGATCCTGGTACTTATTATTTTTTATTCTTTCTGCCAGCTCAGCTACGGAGCCAGCCCTCTTGCTGGTGTGCAGAATCCTGTGTATTAATAATTATAAAAAACATTATTTTCAATATTTGCATAGATTATGAGGGTTAATGATATCAAAAAATTTCACGTTCCTTTACAGTGATTTGTGCATAAAGACGAGCGTCTAACATAAAATTCTTCATTTCAGTGGTTTTGGCTTAAACTTCTGGCTCCCAGAACTTCTCCAGAGAACCCAGGCCAGAGACTGCAGATTTGGCACTAAGCTGGCCATCCCAGAAAATGCAAGGCTGTTCAACGCTAGCAATGCAACGTGGAGGGAATATCAGGACTCCAAAACTGACACCGATAATGACAGTTTTGGTCACAGTGCTAATGATAACTGTGACAGCACAATGGATGATGAGGTAAAATTATAATAAAGTTTTACAACAAAACTGTTAACATCCTAACTAGATAAACCAATTACAATGAACAGAAACCTGTGTTATGCTGCGTCTGCAAGCAAGACTGCCTATTTAACACAATTCAATTTAGTATTGTTGTAACCATAATATCATATATTTTGTATACATAGTGAGTTTCTGTAATTGGCTTATGTACAGCTTAAGCACATTTGTGAAATGAGTAAGAATGCTGTTGAAACTTTGTCCATTGAATAAAATAAAATAAAAAGTAACGGACAAACACTTCAAACTAAACCACAGTAAGAAGAACAGCCCCATATCTTTCTACGTTAATTTTTATTATTCCCTACCGATTCTTAGGGTATACGAGAAGGGCACTATAACCTGTACGCGCACAGGAACCACAGGAACCTTGATAAGTTCAGGTTCTGACTCCAGATGTCATGTTGTCACAGACCTCTGTCACTTGACTTCATCCGGTTTTTCGAACCTTGGGTGAGCCGCCGCGGGTGCACTTACAGTACCCTCCCTATTTTCCAGATAGGTATCGAAGCTGTAGGCACGCTCACTGCCCGTTGCGCATTGCACTACTAGCGGTTGCCACCGCTAAGCTGTCGCCTCTGAGTCCGCTACCAAATCTCTTCATTAGTGGCGGAGCTGTAAGGCACGCTCACTGTGTAACTAGCAAGAACTAGTAAGAAGATCAGGAAAAATCCCACTGTTGTGCACGGATCTTCTATCAAGATAGGGTTTAGACCAGGCATGCACAGACTTATTAAGACTAGGGGCCACTCGGGCAAATCATGAATTGATGGCGGGCCGTCAGAAGTATAGGTAATTAAAGACAATAAAGAATTCATTATTCTGGAATAGAATTAAAAATTTTTCTAATGTACGAGAGTATTATTTTGCTGTCGGCGGGCCACCAGCATGTCACCGGCGGGCCGCATGCGGCCCGAGGGCCGCGGTCTGTGCATCCCTGGTTTAGACCATAGTGCGCCATGGTGGCCCAATGTGAGTTGGGGACTTGCCACGTTTTCTGAGGATTGTGAATCTTCTTCGAAAAGCTCATCGTAAATTTCAAACTAATTTTCGCACATAAATCCCGAAAACTCAGAGGTGCGAGCCCGAATTCGATTCCACGTCCTCTGCTTGAGGCGGTAGATCTAACCATTAGGTTACCACAAGGAAAAATATAATTGTACTCTTTCAGGTATTCATTTCCGGCCTAGTAGTCGGCGCAATATGCGTCATAGGGAACGCCGCGTGCGCAGTATTATGCTCACGCGGCGGCGCACGCGGCGTGCGAGCCGCAGCTACAGCCTGCACGCTAGCGTGTGTTTTAGCTTGCGTTTGTCTCGCACTGTGTGTTTGCTCCTGCTCGAGTGCGAATAAGATCGCGGTGGCGGCGGCAGCGGCGTTGAATGCTGCGTCCTTGAATGGAAATGTCTTACTGATTCGGTTGCTGTTACATGCTTTGCCTCCGAAGTTAAGGTAAGACTTCATTATTTGATAGCAGTAGAGCTCCTTGTGAAAGAGTTAATCCAGGAAAGTACTGCTATCTTACCTATTTTTGTCGCCAAGCAGTATTGTGAGCAGTACTGCGTTCCGGTTTTGAAGGGTATATGTACCTGCTGCTGGGTATATGTACATTGCTTTTAACTGCATCCGTGGCTGAACGGTTACCATGCTGAACTGCCACGCAGAGGTCCCAGGTTCGATTCCCGAGCCGGGAGAAATATTTGTATGGCCTACATTTATTTCTCTCGTGAATTGGGTGTAATTTGTGGTTGTCTATGTATGTGTCCATAGCACCCGCGACACTGGGTTTCCCTAGTGCGGGACTATGTTGAGTGTGTGCGTTATTATTATTATTACCTTATAATACTAAGTGACGGTGCGAACAATTGTGGGCCTTGTGGTAAGCGATAAAAAGCTCTAAATCACAAATTGAGAGACAGTGCCACGGCACCCATCACCCTGAGACATAAATGCTTGGCGGCAGAAATAGGTAAGTTGGCAGTACTTTCCCGGACGAACTCTTTCACAAGGAGCTACTTCCAAAAATTACTGTGAAATAAGTAATAATCGACCAAATTAAAAAACTCATAATGCGAATAAAGTTCATACTTGACATTGTATTTATTTGGATTTTGATGGATTACATATTTGACAGTAATTGTTACAGTCGGATGTCCAATGGAGAACGGGAGTAGACTCTCTGATACTAGCCAACACGATTTCGTTCGTCCATAATATTAACCTTAGAACTAAGTCCAAACTCATGGTGCCACGATTTCGTTTAACTAAGGTAAATGATTCTTTTACGGGAAACTGTATACATTTTTATATTAAGATTATCATTTCCTAAGCTTAAAACTTACATTAAAAGTATTTTAATTGAAAAGTAACATAAACAAACAGACAGTTCATTGGTTTCCACATAATATACCTATCTTCCTTGGCCAGGTCACATTAAGCTCTGCTGCATACGCAGTCCGTAGAATACGCGAGCTTATCAGTCTTGCTACTGCTAGACTAGTTTACTTTAGTTACCTCCATAGTATAACGTCCTACGGGATTCTTATGTGGGGTAAAGCGGCATATATACAAACCATATTTGTGTTGCAAAAACGAGCGATTTGTTCTGTGTACCATTTAGGTTCTCGGGTTTCTCTCAAAGAAAAGTTTAAAGAGATTGGGTATCATGACTGTGGCATCACAGTACATTTACTCAAATATTTTGTATGCCCGTATCTATAATGTTAAGCTTAGAACTACGTCCAAACTCAATAATAACGCACACACTTACCATTTCCTAAGTAAAATGCTTACATTAAAAGTATTTTAATATTGAATAGTCATATTACAAAATTTAAGGGTATGTGTTAAATAAAGATGTATGTAAAGACAACATTAGTTTAGATTCGACACAATTATCATTTAAAGTGTATTCCATAGCATTTAAATTTATTTGAAAAAAGCAATCCCTAGAGTTTCTTGCTCGTTCTTTTCAAGGAGATCAGCGTAGTGAACGAGCAGTAGCTTATAAAATGACGCTTTTAAATGATGATTTTAAATGTAAAAATTTTACAGGAATAAATGATTGTTTGACTCTGACTTCATGATAGTGCCCTGTTGAAAGAGTTGATAATAAGATGGCTTCGGCTTCCAGTGGTCTGGGCGTGTGCTGGGGCGCGTGGTGGGGGCGTGCGGGTGGCGTCGCTTCGAACCTCGCGGTGGGCGCGTTACTCGATTATTCCTGTCCTGCGCCGTTTATTTCCGTCGCCGCGTTGCTTGCAAGTAAGTACTTGTGAACTGCATACATCAAGTTATCTCTACATCCTTGTTCTACTCTAACTACCGCTATAAAAGTCTGCTATCTGCAGGGCTAAAAAAGCCGTATTGGCAGAATCATTATATGATTGATTGATATTTCATGTTATGTTCCAACAGTGCCAAATAGATGAATTGCGTTTTTTGTTTTGTTTGAAATTCATAATATGAATGATCGATTAATCATATTATGATTCTGCCAGTGCGGCCTTTTTAGGCCTGCTGAACTATACCAATTTTATTGCTGCATTGCTGCTTAACTTATTTACAAGATTCCCTACTTAATTAATGGAATACCAACTACTCTAAAACCAGAAATTAAACGCCAAAACAAATTAAGAATGTTTTCTTGAAAAAAAAAAATTAAAAGTATGAGGCAATTATTGTTTTGATATAATTATGTGTGTGCAAATATAATATGTATATTCATTACAATATTCCATTACGTAATGTTTTTTACCAACTTTTAGAAATACTAAATAATATAGAAAAAAATATATTATCTAAACTAACCTTATAGAAAAACTACACACTATTTAATTTATTAACCGGAATCATTCGCACAGACGCATCAACATACAAACAAACAATTTTCCACTCATTACGGGTGAGTACCGTATAATCGATGTTTTTAATCGATGTCATATGGCTCGATTAATCGGATAATCGATGATTTCATACCGATTTTTGCTAAAAAACATAAAACTATATTTCATAGAAATATTTTATAAGCATGTTACAATTTGAAAGAAAAAAATAACCGCTTTTAAATCCAAGTGTTCATTTTATTCAGTATATTTTCGACAAATGAGACTTGCGCAATACCACGGCAGCTGAAAGATTAACGCGCACACTCAATCATAAAATTTGTCTCCACCGCCTTTGAAAAATGTATAATTAATACTGGTGTCTATGCTATGGTGACTATACAGTTGTAATTTGTGTAATTTGAAATAAGGCGGGAAATGAGGCTATACATGCCGCCAGAGCCGTTATCTGTGTTTTGGAGGTTAATCTAGAAACCCTAGTACTATTAGATTAGAATTAATGGAGTATGGTCTAGCTTTCTCTATACCTACCTTCTTTTTTTTTAACTTTGGAAATCAGGCAACAATCTTGTCATCACATCAAAGAAACAGGGTTTATAAACCGTAACAGATGAAAGTGACGTTATAAATTTGACTTACACAGCTAAAAAAATCACCAACAAGAATACAAAATAATGCGACCAATTAAACTATTTATATTTTGTCGAAGGCACGATTAATCGGTCCATCGATTGTTTTGTCAAACAAAAATAATCGATGTCAATAATCGATGTTTTCAGTAATTTTAACGTAAGTTTTTTGTACTCAATTTTGGTGGCAATTTTTATTATTTAATTACTCGAATATATACATTGTGATATATTAAACAATTAGGTTACCACTCTCGAATATTAAATAATACTTCATGATGATATTCTATGAATATTTTAATAAAAAGAAATTGTCACCAAAATTGAGTACAAAACTTACCTGAAAATTACACTTTTGTTGGTTGAAAACCCATCCCTACCACTAATTCACCCGCACACCATCCTTATCATAATGCACACAGCATTAACACGATCGCTGCTGCAACCAGGACCCCAAGTCAGTTCATTTTCAATCATCTCAGTTGTATGTCATAAGAGTGTCAAATTTTGTACCTTTGGTATTCTGCTGAAAGTTAAGATTTGTGGCTTATCAGTGGCTAGCCATAGAGCTACTATTCAACTGTCATTACATTTTTTTGGATTCTGTTCTTCAATGGCGAGTGTGTAGTCTACTAATATTATACATATTTCATCTCAAGACTAAATTATTCATTAAACGAGTTAAAAATTAAGGTATGCATAGTAATTTCCATGATAGTTTTAGTAAGGCAACATCGTAAGTGATTGCATGGTGCCACTATTGTCATTCCATTGAGATTCAACTGCTATTGCAAGTAGATTTTAGCAGAATAATAAATATTACCATAATCTCAATGGAATTACACGGAAATTTCAGAAAAATTATCAGAATGTGATAATCTCAGCTAACCCAACTCTTGCTTACAGTGTCTGGTACAGTAATTTTCAGGTACGTTTTTGTACTCAATTTTAGTGACAATTTTTATTATTCAATTACTCGAATATATCATCGTGAAATATTAAAGAATATTTCAAGTTACCACACTCGAATATTAAATAATACTTCATAATGGTATTCTATAAATATTTAAAAAAAAATGGTCACCATAATTGAGTACAAAAACTTACCTGAAAATTACTCTAGTCTCGACTGTTGAGCTTACGGATGAGTTTATTGATTATTTGGAGTACACTATTTTGTAATGCGAGTTTTTCACATTTTAATTTAAGTTTAATATAAATGCTTGTTGTCTTAATTGTATTTTCTTTGATAGAAACATTTACAATTAACTTTGTATTAAGTCAACATGTCAATCATGTCATGAATTCTGACATTAAGTTTTAAATTGATTCCAGTATCAATTGGTGCCATCATGCTGATCAAACTGGAGTCCCCTCAGGAGTCGGAACCGGAGAAAACCGAAGAAGCAGCGGAAAAAGAAACTGGTCTAGACAGATACATTTCCACTCACATGTAAACGTGGCCGTTACACATATTCATAGTTTCCTTGAGAAAAATGCTTTACTGATTTTGAAACAAAATCCACTGGGAATTACGTGATCAGTGAAACAATTTGCACCCGTGGTGTAATAAGGCCATATCCGCAAAACTACGACTTTTCAGGAGGTTTAATAGTACGAATGAAATAAGTCATTATCGACACTAACAATTAACACTATACCAACTCAAATTCTGTTGATTTTGCGTTTGTAATATCAAATTCAAAATTAAGAAAATATTGCAAACATTAATAGTCATATGTAATCTATAAATAGTAAAAGAATACTAGTAAATGTTATAATTATTAATACAAAAATCGAACACTCAGAAAAAATTTCTTCGATCTGGTCGGTTTCGTACCGACGTCTTCTAGCATACCGTGTCAGACGCTATACCGACTAAGCCACGGAACGAACCAGCGGACCTCATGAATTTTTTTATGTGTTTGTTGTCGTGTCTTTGTGTTTTGGTTTTTTCAACGACTTTTTAGTAGTAGCTTTTTAGCGCCATCTATCAGAAATCTTAAGTATTTCGTCACCAAGTTAGATGCCTTTACAGCTACCAGCGGTAGAGGGGTAGTGTTAATTACTGATGTGGTTTTTATGTCTAAATAAGAGAGCTATAAAATTTCACATCGCACTATTAATACAATAGTGTAATAACTCAAAAAAATTATTTTCTCAGAATCGACGAAAAACGAATTACTCGTTTCCGGTGAAAGATAATTAATTTATTACAAACAATTTCCTATTTTCCAAATATATTTTAAATAAAAAAATAACTTAATATTTTTGAATTAGGACTATTTTGGCCAGAACTAACTCACATAAAGCGTGTCTCATTTTGAGTTACGTCTATTAGTTTCTATTAGATATCTATTAGTTGTTTCTTACAATATTCTAAAGACGGTTTTATTGGCGTGTAGAGAATCAAATTTTACGTTCAATAATGGTATAATCTTGAATTTCATATATTTTGAGTTATAACACTATTGCAGTAGCAGTACGATATATTTCAACACTGGAAACGTCGAAAAAATCATAAGTCTAATTTTATGTGTTATGTTATATAAAAACCATCTCTCAAGCAGAGGTCGAGGGTTTAATATCGGGCTCGCACCTCTGAGTTACCCAGAATTTTAATTTGAAATTTTAGCATGAACTTTTCGGTGAAGGACAACATCGTGATGGAACTTGCACGTCGAAGAAGGTTCACAACTCTCGGAAAACGTGTGATGTGTCCAACCCGCATTGGGCCAGCGTGGCAGACTATGGCCTAAACCCTCGTCTGAAAGGAGACCTGTGCTCAGCAGTGGGACGTGGAAATGGGTTGATGATTTTTTGAATAATATTAAGCGACGGGACGAACAAGTCGTGCGCCTGATGTTAAGCTACACGCCTATCCGTAACAGTTGCAGTGCCACTCAGAGCTTTAAATCGCAAAGATCTGAGGGGCACTGCCATTGCGCCCGTCGCCCTGTGACACAAGTCCCATGTGCCTGTAATTTCACGAAATAAAAAATTATTATAATGATGATGGAAAATTAGAAAGTTTTAGCTCTCTCCTATAATATTTTATAAATGCAACAAGACACTACTTTTCCAGGGTCGATATATATAATACATAATTTATTTCATGTATTTCTTGTCATTGTTATGACGTGATAAAAGCTTTTTGGCGTCGGATAAAAGCACCTTTGGGGTTGAGCTGTCAGAACATTAATGATTGTTGTTACGTTGGGTAATTTGGTTGTACAGCGAAGGTTATTAATTAATAAGGTTATTTTTAAATGAATTTTAGTCACTTAGTGATAAAACTAGATTCTTTCCCATCTACCTACCCGTACTATTATTGTCTTCGAATTATACTCGATTACGTCTCAGGCTTGCAAATACGTATGTTTAGAGGATAAACATCACCAGAGGTCAATTGTAAATAACAATAAGCAGGTAGAGTCGGAGTAAAAATAACCAAAACACACCCCGGTTCAACCCGGGTCGGTTTGAAGTTGCAGTGGAACCCGAATGAGCCCAAATGCAAGTATCGTGTGATCCCGGGACTGGTTGTTTGTCAAAAATAAATACATTTGAGTAGCATTCGGTTTCAGGTTCAGTTGCGCCTCGAGAGATGGCATTAAATTTGTATCGTCTGAACGTAAATTCTTACATACATTTTGTTGCTGTAGGGAGGGACGAGCTTGTTTCCTAACAGTATTGCGATGAAAAATTTTTTGTAAATACGACCATTTTAAACTTTCATTATCACACAAATTAAATACATCCATAGCTATTTATGCGTATTAGAATATGTATGCCAAAATTACGAATCCAATATTTTGCAGAATAGTCATATTTATGAGGAAAATGGACCCAATCACGCGCTCAGAAGGTGAAAATAACGTTGCCCGCTTTGTGCAGTCGTACGGAACCGAATGCTGGGGTTGCACTATCGACAGTACACTCAGCGATAGGCACTTATCGCGTAACCTCGAGCGAGTGACTGAACTCTGGTTTAGTTAAGTGACTTAGTCTCAAAAGTCTTGATGTCTTTCGAAAATGGCAAGAAACTTGTAAAATTGTCGGGGTTAGATTCTCGGAATTAAATCCCTAGTGAGCAGAAAAAATAATGGTGCACAACCGGTGCGGTGCACAAGATTTGTGCCTAAATTGAGTAATGTGCCTTAAATAAGATTGCAATACTGCCCTCCTAATCATAACTAACGTTGCATTTTGTCTACTTTCGAGATATTGGCACCTAAAGTTTCTTTTTCTTTAAAAAATGTCAATTACACTGATTTTGCTTAAGAGTAAACCTACCTACCTACCTAACTACCTCAGCTCGAATTCTATTTTTTCTCGTACTAACACAGTTCATTTTGCTGGGGTCGAATGGCAAGGACACTGGTTTTATTTCACAATTTATTTTTCAGATTTTTTTTTATAAGTTTTTGTTTTTTTTCTATCATGAAAATTTTTACGAATCGTGTTTTCATACCGTATCACTAATCGAGCATTATACTCAATTTAGGTATATATTTTTAAATTTGTAATGTCGACGTCTTCGTGCCAGACGCTATACCAACTAAGCCACGGAACGAACCAGCGGACCTCACGAATTTTTCAATCTGCTTGTTGTTGCACATATTCTTTCCAAAGTGATTGCTTCGCCACTTTCACTGTGATACGGAATCGACCAAAGTCGTTTGAGGTTGTATCGATTCTTAATTATAGAAATTGTAACTACATAAAATTAAAAAAAACAACGCTTATAAGCGGTTGTAAATCTCGTTTCCCTGATTCCAAAGGTTAATAACCCAATTTCACTAAAAAATGTCTTTACGTTACTTATGATAAGGTGGGCAGAACAATAGTACTAAGTGCGACGCATATTGTATGTATGAACAACAAATGTATGACTGTGATTCATGACAATTTTGAATGTGACAAAAGGATATGATTTTTTTTAGATATTTTTTTTATTAAGGCTTAATATTTAAGTATAAATAGACATTTATTTGCGTAACTGAAGTTTTATTTCTAGTCCTAATCATTATTTTTGGTAAAATTAAAAATGATTAAAAACTACAGTACACATAAAAAAAATTTTTTTTTTTTAAATCCAATACACCGGATTCATCCCCTAATTTGCGAGGTAGAATATTTTCTACAAATTTGAATGGAACCACTACTCAGGTATAACAATGCATTCCAAGAAAAAAGAATCATCAAAATCGGTCTACAAATGTCGGAGCAATTTTTTTTTATAATTTTTTTCTTTATACACACTCAACATAGGTCCGCAGTAAATGTAGGCCATACAAATATTTCTCCCGGCCCGGGAATCGAACCTGGCACCTCTTGCGTGGCAGTCCAGCATGGTAACCATTCGGCTACGGAGGCAGTTGATTGCTTAACATCAGTGATCTTGTATACAAAAAAGGCTTAACATAATATACACAAAAAAATACAGTCGAATAGAGAACCTCCTCTCTTTTGAAGTCGGTTAATATTTTATTCGATTATTTCACAAAAATAAATTAATTAACATATCATTAATGATAAAATATTAAAGTGCAATAAACATCTATGCAGATTTATATTATGATTGCAATTTATACCCGTATATATGCATATTATTGCAGGTGACTGTACAACCGTTCATTGCCAGCAATTCACAAATCTTAGTACTTTCTTATTAACAGTCGTATTTTTTAAATGTGTCGAAAATGTATATAATGAAATAGGGCGATTTTTTTAGAAAAGGTGGAACTTTTTATATTTCTATTTCCAAACAATTGCTTGCAAACCATTTTACATTCCTCGCTTAATCTGCTATTAACTTCATGATCCATAGTCACGGCTTTCTAGACTTGTCATTTACATTTGAACCAAATCATCATGAGCCTAAATTTACGGTTCAAATGTTCAACTAAAGCGATCGTCAGATCATCTAAGGACGGCGCGTAATTAATGGCACAACACCAAAGTATACGTCATCTATAACTAAACCCCTTTCATTTAAATCACCACCAAGTCTTTCAACGACGAGTTTTGTTCATTTTCTATGTTCATTTAGATTTCAAATCAAATCAAATCATTTATTTCTTTGTGATACACAGGTTATAAAGTTGTTACAAGAATGAATTTTGAATCACTGTGATCCGCCTTATAGCATACAAAGTTTTCTTAGTTTTAGTAATTCTCATGCAATAATTTGTAATAATATTATAATCATGCAGTCCAATTAATGCAATCTAATGCTAATGAAACATAATAACAATAGTAAAATAGTAATCAATAACAAGTTTAATAACATGAAATGTAAATTTTATAAGAAATCTTCAATGTTATAGAATGTCCTATCCTATCATTTAGGTAATTAAATAATAATTTCTTAAATTCTGCACAATCGTTGCCATTCCTAATTTCAAATGGAAGATTGTTATATACCTTCGTAACCATTACTATTACACTATTTTGAAGTAGAGCAGTTTTACATGATCTGCTTTTCAGTTGATGAGAACGGCGGGCTCGTGTGACGAATTGAAATAAATGAAGATGACGCTTTACGAAAAGTGAAATTTCAAATGTATATAAGCATGGTAGAGTCAGTATTTTCAAATTTTTAAAATGTGGTGGACAGCTATCTGTTTTTTTCAAGCCGCATATAGCCCGAATACATTTTTTTTTAATATGCGTTCAATGTGCGGTGCATTTCCCCAAAAAATGATTCCATACCTAAGGTTGGTTGCTACATAACCATGGTAGGCGGTCACTAAAGCGTTTAAATTTACTATTTTCGATAGCCTAAACAATGCATAAGAAAACTTTAGTATTTTACCACATACATATTCTAGGTGTGTTTGCCAATTTAGATTATTATCTATATATAAACCTAAGAACTTTACTGTCATTGTTTCACCGACCTCCTTGCTTTCATAGATCACTCTAGTTTGCATAGATTTAACTTTGTTTAAAGTTCATAACTTTAGTTTTGTCAAGATTTATAACTAGATCATTATATTTCAGCCATTCAATAATAGAGTTCAAATTTGTATTTATATTTGTTTCATTGTCATAAATTACCGTACAATTATCCGCAAACAATATCATAGGGTCGTTAATTGATTTAGGAATGTCATTTATGTATATTAAAAATAGCAATGGTCCCAATACGCTACCTTGAGGTACTCCTTGACTTACTATTCTCTGTGATGATGCATAAAACTTCTCAATTTTGAAGTCTATTTTTAAGGTAGGATTTTATTAGTTCCTGGGCCTCTTATACCCACAATTTATGCAAAAGCGTGTTATGATTTACATAATCAAATGCCTTGGTTAGATCCATGTATAATGATGAAACGGGTTGGCCTCTGTCCATCCTAGAATATATTTTATCAAGAAATTCGTAGATAGCCAAATTGATGGAATTATTCTTATGGAAGCCTTTCTGTTGGTCTATCAATGTATTATTTTTTTAAAGATATGAGTATAGGTTATTAAATATTACTCTTTCGAAAATCTTGGACATTACTGGAATTAAAGCAACTGCCCTATAGTTCCCTAATTCGCCCTTATCACCTTTTTTGTAGAGAGGTTTTATAACTGTCGTTTTTAGCTCTCTTAGGAATATCCCTTGTCCATGCATTGATTTATAACGTAGCTTAAAGAAGGGGAAATAATATCACATACATACTTTAACACTTTTGTGGATATTTCATCTTCACCAGTACTAGAAGTATTTATTAGATTTCTAATGATTTGACATATTTCGAAGTGATCAGAGGGTTTCATAAAAAAAGATTTGGGGGAATTGAAATTGCACTTGTTTTTAAACACTGCTCTATAAGGTTTAAGTGCTTTTACCTGGTCAATGAAATTATCATTAAATTTTTGAGCTATGCTTTTTGGATCTGTGATGCATATTCCGTTTACTACGATTTTACTTACTGTCGCCTTTGGATTTATCTGCTTGTTGTTATTGATAATATTCCATGTTGCCTTTGATTTGTTTGTCGATGTATATACGTAATGATTGTATTGCGATTTTTGAGTTAACTTAATTATATGGCTGTATCTTTTAGAATATAATTTAAATATTTGCTTGTCGGAGCAACTTTTTGTTAATCTATATCGCCGCAGAAGCGATCGGTTACGCTTACTAAATTTTTTAATACCCCTAGACAGCCATTTTGGTCGCACTTCTGTCCTAAATTTCACTTTGACTATTGGAAAACATAGATCATAAAGTCATTTGAATAAATCATAGAACCTAGAGAAAGCCCTTTTGGCGTCCTGAGTATCGTAAACTTCTACAAAAGGTAATTGAATTAGATATTTTCTAAATTTTTGAAGATACTACTTACTACTGACTATATTTTCGTTTCATGCAGAACCAACAATTATATGTGCAGGTTTGCTTAACTGGGCATGTCATGAGTTGTGCTTTATGGTCCGAAAGAGCTAATTCACAAAGTTCAGTGTATCCACCGCGTATATTATGAATAACATTATCTAAACATGTTCGACTTCTGGGTCTTGTGGGCTCTTTAACTGATAATTTAAGATTATAGCTCTCGATCAGCTTGTTAAACGAGGTGGTATATTTTGATTTTTTTGAAATATTTACATTAAAGTCTATATTAATATATTTATATATAATTAGTATACTATAATCTTGTTTTTGTTATTAGATATAATTAGGTTTAGAACAACATCAAAATGGTTCAAAAATAACTGAAAATTTCTTGTAGCATCTTTACATTTCGGTACTCTATATACACACAGAATTACTATTTTATGGTCAATCAATTCTATCGCGCAGCATTCAAAAACATTAGGTATATTTAACTTTATAATATTTGTGATAACTTCAAATTTTAGACCATTTCGAACTAATATGCAAGAACCATCATCTCTACTGTTACGTGTGTAGGACGCAGCAATAATAAAACCTGGTATTCTTAATAAACAGATATCATCAGGTACCATGTTATGTTCTGTAAAGCATAATGTCTATACGTTTACCTATGTATTCCATATCATCCAAACAAACCGTCAATAAATCGGCTTTATTAATTAATGTAGAATTTTAATAGTTTATACACGAAAAAACTGATCATTAACAATGTTACCACTCAGTTTGTACGGTGTCTGGGATGTTTTTTCATATTCCACTTGTGGCTCCGAATTAACAAAGGCAGTACTATCGGTTTGAGTGCAGACGTCATTAACGGTAAGAGTTACAGATTTTGCGAGCATGTGTTGCTTATACCTTCTATGATTTGACATTCTCAATATTTCTCTAAGTATATTGCGACATAAATAGGAAGCATAATATTTACGTTTAGGTACATATCTGGCAAAATTCATATCAATAAAAACAGAATTTTAAAAATTATTGCAATTAAATCTTAGCTTCTGATTAAGTTTTGTTTCGTTCAAATGTTTGTTATAAGGGGTTTCACACACTAGTACATTTGTATTTTTAATTGAATTGAGCCATGACGTGAACAGATATTTCACATCAAATGGGCTTGTATCGTTCTTGAAGCCAATTACAATTATATAATCTTCATTTGTTAAAGTATTTATTTCCGCTTTACAAGACGAAATCACGTTTACGACATTGGCTCCAGGTTTGCAGAAACAGAAAATATTGTATTTGGTTCCCAATAGTTCTTGCAGTATATGTTGAGTTCCAGTGCCTTGCTCATCGGCCAATATTATCATCCTATTTTTTTGTCGCTCGACCGGTCTTTCTTTATTGTTTATTGTGTTTGGTTTATCATTTTCAATATAATTATTAACAATTTCATTATGACTTATTTTCTCCATTGTCTGTTGCTCGATGTCTTGTGAGTAATTTAACTTAGTAGTATGCAGGCTTTTACGTTTCTTTCGCGCCGATGAATATTTTTTACCGTAGATGTACATATCTTTTTCATGTGCCTAATCTTGTTTAGAATTTGTTTTTTTTTTTTAATTAAAATTTTCTGACAGTAAGTTCTCCATTTCCTGTTCAGCAGATGCTAAGTCTGATTGCAATTTGAATATTTATTTCATCTGTGTTGTTAATATTCAATTCTGGGCAACTTCGTTGTAATATGCAGTTATCATTTTTCTGGTCCTGCCATTCCCCACATGATTCATCACTTGATAAGATGCTAAACGTATTCTCAATTGGTATATTAACATGTACATTCTCTCTGACGGTTACGAAGTTTTGCGGTGTTGAGAACTGAGGAGTCTTAAAAGTTGGAGGGGGTGTGGTCATAGGCGGTGGTGTATGAAAATGGTCATCTTCCTTTTGACCGTGCAAAAAGCACGAGTTGCATTTCCAATTTGCCTTACTTCCCGCGCTCATTAAACAAAATAGCTTGGACGCGTTAGTACAATCAATATGATATTGACCCTTACACACTACGCAGCAGCAGATTTATCAGTCAATGCACCTCATAGCGCAGTAGACGTGATCTTGGATTTGTCCGGAGGCAGAAAACATGCCGCTACTGCGCTACCTGCAAAATGGAAGAAGAGTTGTAATAATGTAATAAACGATTCTTTTTTCGACCAATCTATTATGACTCTGCCCATGGTTTTAGGTGATATCAACCACGTCAAAAGTTTTTTTTTATTGACACTCGTGTCATTTGCAGCCGAACTCAAAATATCTCATACCACACGAGTTAAAAATCACGAATAAGAAACACTTGCTCTGTAAATACGGAAGCAATAGCCGAGAATCAAAATTATTAGATCACGAGCAACTCTCGAAGCACGAAGTCTGTGGTTACAGCCATTTTCTCATTATGGATGGCCTATAGACTTGAGTTTTGATCAGAGCTAGAACCATAGAGAAGTAATAGTCTATTTCTAGAACTACGAATGTAATACAACGCCATTTAACCCGGGCCCGTCTTTTTGTGGACGATCCTTGAGAGGGAGTCCCGTAATCATCCATAGTGGGCAAACGGTCGTAACTTAGGATTTCGTGCTTCGAGAGTAGGGCCAATGTTCAAGTTTTATCTCAACGTCATATACTTGTCATAGAATAAAAATTATACTAACTGAAAACCAGCAAAGACCATAGGTAAAATGTGACCTGGCAGTTTTCGAAAAAGACATTCCCCACGACGTTGATACCCACAAAGGCGCTGCTTCTACCCACCATGATGCCGAGACATTGCACCATACCTCTGAAATATGCAATACAACTTTTAGCAATGAAGGAATATATCGGAAAGAAAACATCGGAAACAAAGTGACTTAATTTTTAGTTAAATAAATAACAAAGTCCCTGCCGTTTGAACAAATAGACTCACCTATAAGAAGTAGGGTATAGATCCACAAAATAAGAAGCCAGTATTCCCATTCCTAGACAAGTACATGTAAACACAACGAAGAAGAAAACACTAGATATTGGTTCTGGAGTCAAATTCAGACAAACACCACTTAGAGAGGATAGACTTAGGATGGATACAAGGACTGCTTTGCGGTAATTAGGGAGATAGGAGATGACGAAGTTGAGGAATGAAAATATGGATTGGGAAGCGATGAGCGTTACCATTACGTTCTCTTCTATTGTGTAAAGACAAATTTCTGTATCCTGAAAAGAAAAATAATGCCATCGTGTATTGTACATCATTAAACTGATTATTTATGTCATTTGTCTAGGTCTTTTATGTCTCGTACAACTTTGATTATTTGCAAACATTGCATTGATTTGTATAGATTGATTTCCAACTTCGAACTTAAGTGTGTGTAACTTAAGTGAACAGAAAAGTAAAGGTCAAAACTTAGGTTGAAAGAAGAAACTTTTCAAAATGTGTATGGAAACAAACTTCTGACAACTTACAACGACAACAGTAGCGTTACTATTCGTGCCATTAACCACATCGACAAAGGCGTGCTCAGTCTGCTGCTCACTGGAGATAAGCGAGCAGATATTGTTACCCGAACCATTATTTTCCATGGATAATCGCACCAGGTTCAGGATATGCGGCAGCCAGGTCAGAAAGCTATTATTTCTGGAAATAAAAATGTTTTACTTTAATTTCCCGAAATTAAAAGATCTATTTTGGTATGCTCTATGTTTAGCCCATAAAACACTGCTGCTGCATAGCATTTAAAACAACAAATGTATGAGAACAAAGTTCACAAAATGGAGAGGATCCATACATCTGCAGGATAGACGTGTCTTCACTAGGAGCCATCTCGCGATTCCTTTTGGGAAATGAGATCCATATCTACAGGTTTGCAACGTCAATGCCAAACACTGTACAAAGCACCTTGAGTTGATCGATGAATACAGGATCTGCTGGATCTCGGCGGCTAGCCGCCGCCGGCACCGCGTGCTGCGATTTGGGTGACACCAATGCGAGGATAGTTTGGTTGTGGATGAACAGTTCATGATATGTATGTTTAATAATAATAATATAATAATATATTATTATTATTATATGTATGTTTAGCATCAGGTTTGACTGTTTCGTAAGATTTTACGCATTTTAAATATTTTAGAGAACACCGGGCCTTGTTAAGGTGGAGCGCGCGTCGAAAGTTGCTGGAATAACGGTTTGTAGTGCTTACGCCCGCCAATAGGAGACGTTGTGAATGACATATTTGACGTTGCAAAACGCGTGAACTTACACGTATATGAGAACCGGACAACAAACAATAATTAAGTGATGGTTTGACAAATATGAACTATTATATTGGGTTTCTTTAAATAAAATATATAAATGACATAGCAATTGGATCGGTATTCACTTTAATTGAAAGATAATTTTATGCTCGGGAGACGCGGCTATATAATTCAAGCTATTACTTATAGAATAATCTTGAAATCCAATTCTCGTCCACTTTTTCGAGCATCTGAATTCCGTACATCGGTAATAACGCAGCAGATGTTTGATCCCCACAATCCCCGCAGAAAATAAACCATAGGTGTGATATCACACAAACGTGGACTTTAATAAGCGAATTAGATAGAAAAAGAAAGACATGAAGTCTGTTCTATATGCCTCGGAATCGCAGTTTTAAAATAAACATTATATATATATATATAGTATAAAACCTGTTCTCACGTGATGTACACGACGAAGATGATGTAGAACAGCTGCAAAGTTCTCCAGAGATAGGGAGGTCTGAACAAGGGAGCGCTTTGTTCGTACAATGCTCGGTATACTGACATCTTCTTCTTGACTGACTCGTCTTCGAGGATTATGGATTTGACCTGAAAGTTATAGATTGTACATTAATGTTTTGAGTTCTTAAGTTTCGCGATTGTTACACATTAGAAATAAAACTACTGATAGTGCTAAATCAGTCCTAATGCCGCATCATTATTAATGAAAATTGTGGCTGCGTCCTTGACCTTGTTGGTAGGTCAATAGGCTGTGGTGACAAAACACACTGCGGCTTGTGAAGTCTCAGTAATCTGAGCTAGGAACTCAATTAGGAATTGTCTTTCTTATTAACTACACGACGGAATTTGTTGAAATTTTTTAAAATATTAGATTATTTGATTATTTAAGTAATGTTTAAATACACTGATTCGTTATATTGGTCATTGCACACTTTGAAAAGAAAGTGTAAGCAATGGCTACTTAACGTACAGAAATCATAATGTTGCTGGACTAACATGTTATCGTACCTGCATTAAAGCGTGGCAAATGCTTTATTTTGTTTTAAATTTCTTCTTAGTTTATTTGTAACCTAAGTAACTTTAAATGTATGTAAGAAGTATGAACCCTATTTCAGTGCCGTTTGCATTTAATGTTCTTTTACTTGCAATATCGTGTGCTCATCAAAATAATGATTAGTACTGTTGAGGCTGCATCCTTTTCATTAGCACTAAATTTCACATTTCCAAAGCTGTTAACCTTATTATTGTAAATGTGCTTATGAATAAATGTCTTATAATTTTTAAGCATGTTGTCTTCACATCAAGTAGGACACATTCTTATCGTATCATTGTGTTAATGGGCTTCTTGAGATACATAGTATCTCATTGAACCTCAATTTGGGCACAAAGTAGACCAGTGTCGTCAAGTCGAGTCATCTGTATCTGATTTATAAGGAGTTCCATGCTATTCGTGATAAATTCTCCAAGTTGTTATCTCACTTAGACCGATTTAATGGACGTATTTGATCAACTAGCAAAGTGGAGTTAAAATTGTTGATGTTGTTAGGGGTTCGCTCCAGACCATAATCTTGATGTTAAGTCAAAAAGAGGTCAACGATGATGCAAGTTTACTTTGGAGATTCATCGTACTATTGAGCTCATGGAATTATATGTACATAAATGGAGTATAGATATAGGAAGCGTGTGTCATTCCCTGGCTGTGCAAAGTTAGAAGCACAATGCTAAGCGCGTGTTTCAAAATTTTTTGAATATATACCAGGTATTGGAGGTACCCCGCAGTGCCTCGCTATTCAGCTGGTAAAAAAGATACGGCGGAATGAGTACATGGTGCGCACACTCTCCGAAGTACAATCTGCAAAATATACATAAGCAGGCGACTGTATGCCTGTGTCTCAGGCTGTGAGGCAGGCTTAACTTCAACAAGCACTTTATTACTTTCTTTTATTATTGTCTTTCGAGACCTATAGTTAGCATGCTTCAGATGTTAACTAACCATTTTTAACCGACTTCAAAAAAGGAGGCGGTTCTCAATTCGTCTGTATGTTCTTTTTTTGTATGTACGTTACGCGATAACTCCAGTATTTGTGAACCGATTTTCATGATTCTTTTTTGTAGGAAAGGGGATACTTCCATAGTGGTCCCATTTCATTTTGAAGAAAAGCATCCACCTTGAAGGGTGGCTGTTCACGCATGAAGATTCATTTTTTATAAATAGCGCCTAACTTTAATTTAGGAGCAATTACTTTAATGGTTGATTTTGCTATTTCTCCAATTCAAGGCGTTTTTCTCTCAATATACTTTGAGTAGGGAGAACCGATTTTTATTATCTCCAGTGTCAAGTCCTGTATAGTGGCGAACTAGGGGATATTTCAATAAAACTTAGGAAATAGACGTAATTCCACTTACTTTTGAGATCGGTTTTTTTAGTACTCTGTACTGAGATTATTATTACTGTATTTATTGTTCTGTTGTCCCACGTGCTTGCTGCTACATAAGTGTATAAATAAGCATTATTAAACGTTTAACGTTGCCAGGCGCATTTAGCTCGTACGACCAACGACTTTAAAAACATATGTCTATACCGTCTAGATGTTGTAACAAAGGAGTATCAAGTAATAAAAGCAAAACAAACCTTATATTCGTTCGCGCTAGTCTTTCTATTGATAGTATACATAGATTTCAACACGTCCAAAGCCTCGTCTTTCCTTTCCCAGTTGGCCAAGAACTTAGGAGATTCGTAGAAGAAAGAGATGGCAACAGCGCCCACGCCTGAAGGAAGAGCGAAAACGATGATCAGCAACCGCCAGGGACGGAAGACGATTCCGAGCCAGGGAAGTTGTGCTGCAAAGTCTAGCTTGAGGGTTGGGTAGGCAAGTGCTGAAAATAAATTATTCTTATGAATACAGATCCGAAACTATTACTCCTAGTGAGTACTTAAAACTGACAGACAAGAAAATTTCAAGCAAACATGCCTCGTATTTCTAGTGAAGTGTTAAAATTTGATACGTATTCTGAGTTACATGTTATGGTATGCTATAGCCTGTGAGGTTAAATTCTTCTGTCCAAGATAAGGGTACTACATCTACACAGACTTTGTCCAGGGAAGTACCACCAAACATATATATGAGCATTACTGGAAAATGTTAATAAAACTACAGGTACATAGGACTTGTCAACTTTTTGTCTAAGAGCGCGTTCCCATTGTTTTTTTAGTAGCAGTTTAGAGCTCCTTGTGTAAGAATTTGTCCAGGGAAGTACTACCACCTTACTTATATTGCTAACTTACCTATTTTTGCCGCCAAAAAGTAATGTGAACATTACTGCGTTCCGATTTTAAAGGGTAAGTATGGTGAAGTTACAGGTACATGGGACTCAACTTATACCTCAGGGTGTCGAGCACAGTGGCAGTGCCCTTCAGATCTATGTGCTTTAAAGCTCTGAGAGGCACTGCAACTGTTAGGGACCATCAGGTTTTTATAGTGACGTTTTATTTATCGTTAGACGACTGTCGTTCTAGCTCTTCACAGTCTGTCGTCGTAATGTCAAAAAGTCGTGAACGACAATTAATCCTATGTAGTCACGACATAAAATCTTTGCGATTTAAAGTTCTAAATTTCACTGCAATTGTTATGGGCAGGAGTGTCGCGTATCACCAGGCGTATGACATATCTGTCCCCTCACTTGATGTCAGACAAAAAACGGATACAGAATCTCACCTCCAGCTATCGCAGGAGATAGGAGCAGCAGACATGTCATGAGCAGCATATACTTGCTTCTTACTCGCTGAACACATGACTCGCCAACTAAGGTATACGTAGCGGAATTTGCTGCGCAAGAGCTACAACAAAAAGTGCAATTTTTTTATTTATTTACGGTCGTCTGTCTCGTCATGATCATCATATTTAACACACTAGTAGTGGTGAGCAATGCCTCTGAAAGATTGAATAAGATAGTATAGAATACATTTATTTGCCAGAATACAGTAAAGATAACGGTCTTAACTCAAATTAGTACATTGTATTCAACCTGCAAGCACATGTGCAAATATTCATGAGGTTTAATGCTCGTTCTCTACTGTTAATTGTTGTTTGTATTTGAAAAATTTTAAGTATTCTTTATTACTATAGAAGCAACGTGTCAATAGCCATTATGTCAATTGTAATTTAAAAGCATGTCCTAGTAACAATTCATTTGATGAATTATTGAAAATAATACACATGTTGAAACAGTTTTTCTTCTGTACTACTCTCTGGGGTATGAGGTTGATACAAAAGATTCATTCACAAGTTTAGCTTTAGTTTGCCTTTGAATAATTTCACCACAAGTTTTGAAATATTGGGGCTAAGTTTTGACAAATACACAGATATCCCTAATTTATGGACAACGGCACATCAGACTACACATTTTTGTTCGAAATTCGCCTGCAGTGCAACGGAACAAGATACGTCAATATGTAGCTTGATGGCGTGTGTACATGCATGGCAAAGGCAGCATATTTAGTTTTTTAAACAACGGTTTACAGGTGTCGTCGAACCGAGCACCTCCGATCTCCCGAATACACTTCTGATAGTTGAACGCGAAAGTTGTAAAGTGTTCTTTCATATTCTGGCGTACGTGAATTCTTTGAAATTTTTAACAGTTTTTAAAAGTGGGGAGTTAGAAGCTCATGTCTACGGTGTTGAGGCTCTCAAACGGTTGGCTTGATTGTTGTTGTTGTTTATTTGAAGGCAAGTTTAATTGGGATTATTGGCTACATACATATTATTAGCTGTATACTTTACGCCTTTTCCTCATCGGGAATCGAGATGGGCAGAAACAACAGTTTTCCACTTGCTACGGTTCTGACACATATCTTTCGCCTGATCAACATGCATCAGTGATTTCATACACGCTCATCGTTTAAAGATACTCTTTTTTTTTCTGGTAAGCTCGCCTTGGTCGGCCCTTACCAACTTGCCCGCTCACGCTTGCTTTATAAGTGTGTTTCGTTAATCTTCTTTCATTCATTCTCTCTGCATGTCCGATCCATCTAAATGTCCCTTTCTCTTCTTTCTTATCTTTGTCACTATATCTTCTTACATGCCGCAACGCTCTCTTATCACACTGTTCCATAATTTATCCATCAGAGTCACTCCAGCACTCCAGGCTGCCTTACTTCTCAAAGCTCTCATTTCTACTGCATTCATTCTACTTTCGTGCTTCTTCTACCAAACCCAACATTCACTACCATACATAACAGGTTTTTAACTATGTTTGACAAAACATCTGGCCAGCTGTTTTAATGGTTATTTATTTTAATACTTGTGTAGTGGTGTTTATGATCCACTGAGATGATGAAAAGACACCTTAGATATCCGATTTTAAGCCAAATTCACCCGAGCGGTCGAGGTGGAGCGGTTGGAGACCCACCACAACATGAACACGTTGGTAGCGCGTTTTATTTTAATCTCAATGCCATCTAGTGACAAAGCGAGGTCACTAAAGGTATTGTTTTGTTTTCTGGTATTACCTATACATATACATGAAAAGGAGATTCACTTGTTAAAAACTTAATTATAACAATCATCTACTTACAAGCAGACAGAGAGGAACTTTAGTACTCCCAACAGATACCAATTGGGCGATAAGCTGCTAACGCAAGACAGAATGAAGCCGACGTGCATGGATACCGCCAGGGTGAATTTTCTGCCCCGCGTGTCTGAGATATATCCCCAGAAGTAGGACACCAGGAGGATACCTGTAATGATTAAAATCAAATCAAAACAAAATTATAGGGATTTATTTGCAAGTAACATTATCGTCGAGATAACAAGCGTAAGGTAGTAATATAATACGAGTACCTATTTAATAGCACTTCATTAATAATTGAGATCATATTTGTTTTTGTTGAATATTTTTTTTTAGAATAGTTTAGTTATCGTATGTCCAAGAATTATCAATTTGGGCTCACTGTGCGACATCTCCTAGCACACTGTGTCAGATACTATGCCAACTAAACCACGGAACGAACCAGCGAACCTCACGAATTTTTCTATGTGCTTGTTATAATTACTGTATAGAAATTCCTACATTCCATGAATTTAACGAGCAAACCACATCTACGTTCTATCTGTATAAATTTCATAACGTATTCGACGGTTTGATAGTGCTTGACTTCTTAGAATGGATGCATGAGAAAGTTGATTTTCATAACAAACAACTGATGACTGTGAACGTTACCAACACCATTCATATGTTAAAGTCCGATGCAACTAATCTTTTCGAAGCCTTAGTTCGCGTCCATATTACGAAGCAAATCAAAATACCGGTTTCCGCTTCTAACGGTGAAGTTTTTATACCTTATACGGAATTGAACCAATGTTATATACCTCATTGCTTAACTAGTGCCCAATCAGGGTACGCTTACGTTCATATTATAAATCCAACTAAAAATTACGTCATTGTTGCTCTAACTGGCCCATTGCAAACTCAAAAGCTCGCTAACTTTGAAATACGTAATTACCAAAACATGTCCTTCGGACAACGATAATATAGAATTCAAAATTCGCACCGATCACTTAAATCTTGAAGAAAAAGTCAATCTTTCGGGTTTATGCAAAATTTACGAAGACATTTTTCATGTTGAAGGTACGACGCTTATGTTTACAAATAAAATAAAACATTCCATTAAAACAACCGACGGAGAGCCAGTATTTGCCCGAAATTACCGCTTCCCTGAAATTCACAAACAGGAAGTAGCTGACCAAATAAAGAAATTACTTGAACAAAACATAATTCAACCCTCAAATAGCCCATGGTCATCACCTATTTGGATAGGACCGAAAAAAAATTGATGCATCCGGTAAAGTAAAATGGCGTCTGGTGGTAGACTACCGAAAACTCAGCGAAAAAACGAATAGTGCAAAATATTCAATCCCAAATATTAATGGTACATTAGATCAATTAGGTCGCAGTCAATATTTCAGGGTGATTGACCTCGCTTCCGGCTTTCACCAAATAGAAATGGACCCCGCTGATATTGAAAAAACAGCTTTCAGCGTAGACTGCGGCTACCGGGGCCACTACGAATACCTACGAATGCCATTCGGTCTTAAAAACGCACCATCAACTTTCCAACGAGTTATGGACTCCATACTTCATGTCTTGGATAATACACTTGTTTATAAGGACGATATAATTGTGTATAACACTTACTTGCAGGAACACATGGCTAATCTAGACGCTTTATTTCAAAGGTTACGGGAAGCGAATATGAATATTCAAATGGATAAATCGGACGTTTTGACGAAAGAAACGAACTTTTTAGGCCATCTTATAACCATTTATATCTTATAAACATAAAGCCAGATCCAAAAAAAATTGAAACCATACAATAATATCCGGTGCCTAAAACTACTAAGAAAATTAAATCTTTCCTTGGATTATTAGGCTATTATCGAAAATTTATTATTTTGCCCACGTTACCTAAACCTAACCTAACCAAAGCCTTTAACCAAATGTCTTAAAAAAGGTGCTAAAATTGAATTGACTCAAGAATACATTAATTGCTTCAAACATTGTCAAAATATTTTAATGCATGATCCCGTGCTCCAATATCCAGACTTTAATAAACAATTCATACTCAGAACAGACGCATGTGGTGTTGCGGTAGGTGCGGTGTTATTGCAAGGCGCTCTCGGTTCTGATAAACCGATCGCCTACGCATCGCGTACTTTGAATGAGAGTGAAACAAGATACTCAACCATAGAGAAAGAACTTCTAACCCTCGTTTGGGCAACGAAGTACTTTAGACCGTATTTGTTTGGCAGAACGTTTGAAATAATAACCGACCATAAACCCTTGCAATATTTGATGAATCTAAAAGAACCCAACAGCCGTTTAATTAGATGGAAATTGAAATTAGATGAATTCAACCATAAAATTAATTACCAAAAAGGTAAACTAAATTCTAATGCTGACGCGCTATCAAGAGTAGAAATTCACAACCACGAAAATGAATCTGAAACCGTTTCTATTAACCCTAAAGACGAAGACATTGCAGACCAAAATCTATCATTAATAGTTAACGTATATATATAATAGTTAATAAGAATCCGAACTGCCAAATCTGAACGACCTTGACGATCTATACCAGCCCGAAGCAAATAACACGGTTCACTAAGAACTGGAAAATCCACTTTTAGAAATCCCCATTGCGGTGTTTTTCCACGCATTGGACATCCAAATATTTATAAATTTTGTTCTTCATTCACCTGCTAAAACGAAAGTTCTAGAAGTATTCCCTGGTAAACGCCGAATAGTTGCACAAATATCCGAAAATAATATAAAAGAAGAACTTATCAACTTGTTCAAAGACTTTGTGAGGCCCAAAATTAAAAATGGTATTTCCGAAATCACAAGAACCTTATAGAACACGTTCAGTAATTCGGCTATCAAATTAATTTTCTGTAAATGACGTCAGTGACCACGACGAGCAAATACTCATAGTGAAAAGCTATCATGAAGGCAAAACTAATCACCGCGGTATACAAGAAGTAGAACAACGTATCAAAAGATCCTATTATTGGCCAAATATGACAAAAACGATATCAGAATTCATAAATAACTGCGAAATTTGTCAAACTTGCAAATATGAACGAAATCCAAATAAACAGCGCTTTGAAATTGTCCCGACTCCAAAGAAACCATTCGAGGAGCTTCATGTGGATACGCTCGCTGTTAAGGGGCAAAAATTTTTGACAGTAATTGATACATTTTCTAAATACGCGCAGGCTTATGCTTTAGACAGCATGACTGGTGTCAGCGTACTTAGCGCTCTAACAACATTTATGACCCACCATGGCTTGCCATTATGTCTCACTGCTGATCAGGGCACAGAATTCAAAAACTTGCCTTTAAAGGAATTTGCACAACTTCATAAAATCAATTTACATTTTATTAGTGTAAACAACCCTCAATCCAATGGCGCCATTGAGCGTTTCACTCAACAATACTGGTACATGTCCGTATAATTGGTCAAAATCGTCCTGAACTATCCACCAAAGAATTAATGTTGTATGCTATTCTCGGCAATAACAATTCCATACATTCCAGCACTAATAAGAAACCTACCGAAATTATAAACGGCCATCTCGATAACAGAGACCCATTCGACATAAATCTCGTGGAAAAATGCCTGCAAAATTACGTTAATACACACAAAGAAATCACAAAACAATTGTACGCGAAATTAAATTAAACTCTTGAGAAACGTCACGAAACTGTAATGCAAAACGCAGGTAGAGAAGATCCAATAACCTACGAAACCGATAAGCAGTGCTATTCTAAAAACCCTCTCACCGCTCGCCACAAAACTCAACCGCGATACGTTACTCGCAAAGTTAAAAAGGATATAAGTAAATAAGTTTTAGACAGCAACGAAAAATCGTATCACAAACGCAATCTAAAACGACCTCTTCATAACCAACATACTCTGTTGCAGGATGATACTGATTCTCACCCCTCTTATCAATAATCCTGACATTTTGCCTTTTCAATTAGGATCTGCTAAACTACAAAAAGCAGACCATATTTCCATTCATTACTATGAGTTAAATAGGATAAGAGATAGTATAAGTACTTTAGAACGACAGTTATTAAGTTTTGTAGATTATGTGAAAACAGCAAATGCCGACTATTTTTTAAATTTTCGTATTGCTTGTTGAGTTAGATATAATAAAAACAAAATAGAATGCATTAAGCAGCTCTAGTTCTAGGTACAAGAAAGGTCTAATTGATGGGTTAAGCTCTATCATAAAAGGGATCACTGGAAATCTGGATAATAACGACGCGAAAAAGTTTACTGAAGCCATTTCGAATCTGCAAAAAAAAACAAGAAAAGGTCGAAAAATACGTAAATGGAGGAAAATCTTTAAACAAATACTTATTATTTGCATTTAACTCTACTGTGTCACAAATTGCTCATAATTAGTATAAAATAAATTTAAAGATTAATGAAGCATTCAGAGAAATTAACATGACTAATTATAGATTACTGGATTTCATAAATATTAGTAGCCTATTCAAATTACTGAAATTAAACAGTCAGACGATTTTGGAAACTTTATCAACTTTAGAAAATTCGATATAATTTTCGAAATGACAGATAACTGACCCAAATCTAATTAGCCCAGGAAATATTCATTTTATCTCTGAGACTCTCACTACTCTGCATAGTCCCGATGAATTACTTATCACCGCCCACACTGACATCAGAGACTGTTATGACTTAATAGAGACTGGATCTTACTATGTCGACAATATAGTCGTTTTTATCCTTCGTTTTCCCATTATTTATAAAAATATATATTCTTATTTCCATCTCTACACATTACCAACAACAAATAATTCCATAATTATCTCTCCTAAACCTTACCTGGCCATGGAAAAGCAGAGTAAATGGAAGATCACTGCAAAAAGTTCAAAGACATCTACCGCTGTAAAGAAACCTCGTTGCTCTCCTCTCAAGATCACCAAGACTGCACACACCACCTTATCGTTTCTCAAGAAATATCTGCATCCTGCATTTATATCCTGTTTACCACAAACAGACCAATTTGGGAAAAAATGGACGACAAAATTACGTAATAAACTTTCCGCACCGCACTAATATCCGAACACTTCGAAACGGCGAAAGCTATGACCGCTTGAAAGGAACATACCTAATTGAAATTCCGGATGGATGTAATTTTTCTGCTGGAAATATATGTAATTTTTAAGAAGCTTCGAATCAAATTATTTGGATTTCCTGTGAAATTATTGTCATTTGGATTACAAAACGTAACACTGAAAAATAATGAATCACCGCTGAAACTCCACGAGGAGAACAATCCACTAGACCAAATCTACAAAAGTTGAAACTCTATTAGAAAGAGAACGTCCCCTTAAGTTAGAAAATGACTCTACCAAAGAATATCACTATTGGACAGGCCCAATCTACATTTTCCTGGCCTTAGTATGTTCCTACCTTTTAGTCAAAAAAATTTACAATCGATACCGAAATAGTCCGCCAGCCGAAGAGACTTTTAAGGAAAATAGAAACTCTGAAAACATTGAAATGACAGCATGTACCAGTCAGCCCTTCTTCAGCAAAGCTTCAATCGGGCTTCACACTAACCCCGGGGGTATTATATGCTCATCCCTGAATGTAGAGATAAGAAATTGCTGATGCAACACCAGCGCCGGCGTCGCTTATGGCTTCGATACTTCAGTTCCAGTTTCAACTTCAAACTGGCAGGTTGGTTCATTCAACCGAAGATTTTAGTTTTAAGACTCTATTATAGTGCCTTTAGTGATCTTATCTTTAGTTAAGTGACTTTTATAGAATATATTAACTTGTTTAAAACTTGGGGTTGTAATTCGCGCGTGGCATGTGACTTGCCCTTTAAGTTGGAAGCTATGTCCGGACATTGTCGCAGGACACTACGACTTGTATCTCCGGCACCAGATAAGCTAGATATCCTCCGGTCCCTCCAGCCACTTAGGATTATTAGGAACAAGAGAGACGTCGTTTTTGTCGAGAGGGTCGGTAGGGAAGGTCAGTATAATCAAAACAATGTAGAAAGATATGGGGAACTGGTTCTTTCGCGGGTATCCTCATTTCCCTTTAGGTGACCTTGAGTCTTCTACTGAGTATATAGTACAAGGAGATCCCTGGTTTGACTCCCATATCTGAATGTTTAGTGCTTTGGCATGTTTATTGTTTTTTTTTTCGTTCGACAAGGTACATTTATGCGACTTACCAATAAGGGGCACCGAAGCGAGAATTCCTTTCTGCGAAACTGTAGTGTCTAGGTCGCAGGCAATGTTCACCACTAGACTGAAACCAAACAGGTCTACTCCGATCGCCAGGAGAATGAACGCGCACGTGGCAGAGAGAGCGATGTTGTACAAGCCATTGCCTAGAAAAGAAGAAAAGTCGGTTTAAATAGTGAGTTTGTGATTTTTGAATATAAAATTAATATAAATAAACTGAATTTTGTTGACAGTCGTCTATATAGATCTACAGGGGCACTGTGAACGTTTCTTTAATTAGGTTCCTGTTCGATTAAATAAAATGCTTTTTAAAACAGTTACAATTTTGACAACACATTTACATTGCTATTCCTATTGTTTAGGTATATACACGAGTAATGTAATATTGGGCATTCTATACCACCCAATATCATAAGTAATAGAACGCCCAATATTTCGTTCGTCTTTCGCATTATCATCTTGCGATCACAATACGACCGATCACGATACGACCTAACACGATCGTTACTTTCGGATTTCATATTGACTGTAATATTTAAAAGGGAGCATGCCAAAAAAGTTTTGACGTTGGCTCCGCCCATATTTGTGAGACAAATATATGCCTGAAGTTCGCATGACATGCGACAGGAGATGTTGAATTTTGCGCAGTAAAAGTACCAAATTCGTTTTAGCGGAATAACTCTAAAACTAAAGGGATTAAAAAAAATCCGTAGTGATAGTTCTCGATCATGCATAAATATAATTAATTATCTAATTTTTGTCCTAATAACCTGTAGCATTTCGAGGATGAATCGAAAAAATGTGAAAATTAGAGGTCATTTCGTGATTTTTATCTATCGAGGAAACTTTATTGTTTTATGTTTTGGATTAGTGTCTATGCTTGAATATATCGTGTAGTTACTCATACAATATTTTATTTTTAACTTTAAAGAGGATATACCCCTCTAAAATCAAATCGAAGATTAGAAATTTTTCCTCTGCTCCCTCTTAAGTTAAACTAACATTGTGACGAAAATGATATTCCATTTTTGTAACGACTATATTACCCAGAAGACATGTCTTGCATAAATGAGATTCCTGAAACAGATTTACGGAAAATCGATCCTTTATTAAACTCTGATACTCAACGCCATTGAAAATTGTTACCGAATACTATTAAATGCATTATCGGTAGACCACGTAATCGTGGCAAAACTATTTTTTATTAATTGGACTTTTATTGCACGAGAATGGCCTTCATTAGTAGAACTAGGAGATAAAGGTTGTACAAGTTTGTTTACATTGCATAACAAATATAAAGACTGTGATTTAAACTGTGCAAATTACAAACAGCAATGCGCACTTAAAAATGCTATTTTTTTTAAAGATATAGTATTTTAATAATAATATGTACCAGTTTAAATTATTTTCATAATAAATACTGTATTACTCTCCAACACAAAATATTTTATTTTTGGGTAAATAAAAAGTAGGTAAATAGAAAAAAAGTTTTATAAAATTAATTTACAATAAAAAATCTTCAAATGCAAGAAACTCTCGGTCTCGGTCTGCTGTCCGCTACCAGGCTTGCTCGTAGTACCTAGTTGGTTCGAAGCGGCCAAGGTCAGACGTTCTTCTGAGTCACACTTGTCCACAACAAATACATATTTAAAACTTAAGGGTAAATCACCGAAAAAAAAAGAATAAAAACAAAATTAAGCATTACCAAATTAAGCATATGGATGCGGGCAGCGCAGTCGTGGAGATCGTCGGGGGAGGCCTATGCCCAGCAGTGGGCGTTATATCGCTGAGTGATGATGATGATGAAGCATTTCCTAAGTATATTTGCCTACAAGCTAAAACTTACCTAGTTATATCTACACCCTCTATGTTGCACCCTTCTTCGTTCCTATGATCTAGCTCAGACCCAATCGGCCACAGCAACGGCCACTTTCACCATATATTAGATATTGCGCTCCACTATTTGACGCCACATGCACTTCATATCACACGTAA